AGTGGTATTTTTATTTTTAAATAATGGAAGTATTCAAAACAATTGCAAGTGGCCAGTGTCTTAATAGGTACATAAACTTTTTTCGCAAAACTTTCTGAGTGGCCTGGTATAACTATATGACTAGTGAAAGTGTTTTGACTTTACCTATACCATTGAACCGCGAAGACAAGGGCGCCAATTTAGTAGGCGTTAGGTTAAAGACACGTCTACTATTGTTATCGTACACAACTTAAGCCCGACCAACGGTATATTAAGGGCATTGATCTCATTTTGTTAAAATTACATTTTTACATTTTTTTAGTTAATTACGTATCTATAGGATGGTGATATTGTACCTTTGATGATGATTATTTATAACTAGCTGTACCCCGCGGTGTTACCCGTGGTTTATTAGAGATATTGTCTCGCAGTAAAACGTAGCCTATGTGTTAATCCAGGGTGTCAGCTAACTCTATACCAAATTTTATTAAAATCGCCCCAGCCGTTTAGATGTGAAGAAGTAACAAGCACACACACTCACAAACTTTTGCCTTTATAATATTAGTGTGATTTTGTTTACCATACCACTAACTGGTAGAAATCAAAGTGGTCGATTAAATTGATTTTGTCATTCATAAGCATAAGAATTTAGTGATTTCCCTGATACCTAATAATGAACTTAAATGAAACCATTTTTGTTTGGATGCTATGAACAAAATCCGTTGATTATAAACGCACCTACTCAGTGCCGTCTTTGACCTATTGGAGGCCCTGCCCCTCTAGCATGACCACCGAAACGGGATATGATACACCGATATATCGGCATTAACTGTCAGACTACAGTGGAGTTTGACAGTAGTCTGACAGTTCTAATGACGATATAACGGTTTATCATATCCCTAGAAGGGCAGGGCATATTAAGATAATGGGGCCCCTATGACCCCCGTATGGTGATCTAACATGAACTAGGGACTTTGTATTTGATCTGAGGTGGGCCCCTATCGATCGCGGGCCCCTGGTCACTTGCCCAAAGTGCCCACAGGGAAAGAGGGGTCTGCACCTACTGGGCTTGCAAATATGACCAAAGCGAAGAATTTGTAAATACCCACGCCTGTTTTGTTTTTGTGTACTGAGTGCCTCGGTATAGATATAGCTATTTGCCATGCTTAATAAATTGGTTCCATTACTAAGTCATTAGATAATGGCAATTTAAAATATGGGTACCTACTCTTGCTAGGTAATTGATTTCTAATAAGTAACATTGCTAATTAGCGAATTGGGAACCAAGTTTTAGATATGGACAGTAAAATAGATATAAGCAATTTCTGACGAAACGATTCCAGCAGCACCTGTAAAATACTTACAATTTAATATTTTTGTAATGAAATTTAAATATTGATATGGCGGTATGGAGGTAATCAGACGTTGAAGGAGAGTAATATCACGATAATATTATAATATTACCGTGGTAATGGTGTCGATTCTAGCGTGATTCTCTAAACTTAAAACTAAACTAGCAAACCAGTGAACCAAATGTTCACCAAAACCTGATTTCTCGAAAACCGCAAGTGCTACGTTACTCAAATCCGGTTTGTAGTCTTATCAGACTATTCTTAACTTATAACTTAAATATTCTCTTTTTCTATCTCTTACGGTTTGGCCGCTGAAACAGCACCACAGACAGACGGACGGACTTGTCTAATAGATAAGAGATTTAACATCAGTCTCTCTTTTTCATTCTGTATAAAGAATGACAATGATGCACTGTTGTCAAATTTAAGTTTAGCTTTAGAGAATCATGTCAGAATCGACATCAGTATCTAGCTAGGTCTTATGTTTTGTGAATTTATTATTCATAGGTGATTGGTATTTTTGGGATTATTTTTTGAGTAACACGTAGGTAGGTACTAAAGAAAATTTATTGGATATCAAGACTGAGTAAGACAGAACATTATTATTTCCTCTTATTTTAATCAGAATATTAATAAAATCAATTCGAGTATTATAGGTAACATTTTTCTGTCTAAAAACTAAAAAAATACTCTACAATATTTTCATTGAATGGAAATTATATTTGCAGATATTATTAAATTTTGTAACCCTGATCAATACTAATCACTTTCCTACAACACTTTACTTAGGTTTTTAATGAAGCGTTTCATCGTTAGTTTCATCATTAATCACACATCGCTTAATTAAAAAACGAGGAATAAGCTTCAACTAGTTCCACCGTGTTTTTTTTTAAGCATTTAACTGCTAGATGTTTAAATCTATGAATATTTTTTATTCTAGTAAAACTTTTTTAGATTTAAACATCTAGCCGTTAAATGCTTAAAAAACATAACTATAATTGCTATTTCTTCTTTCAAATGTTTAATACTTGAAAAGAATTCATTCGACATTGTGGGTTACCTATAATGCGATGAGATGGCGCTGCCTTGCAGCTAAAGGCTAGGAAAGCTTCGACGCGGCCATCAGGGCCGTGGTAGCATAATTGGTCAGTGCATTCGCCCGGATTGCGAAGGGTGCGGGTTCGAGTCCGGTCCGCTGCCTGATTCCCTGGGTTTTTTTTTCTAGTATAACTTTTCTTTAGTTCCTCTATGTTTTGTTCCATAGATAGTAGATTGGTCTCCCTTCAGTCGAGTGAAGCGAGACCAATACTTCATCTATGTTTTGTTCATATCACTTAAATGCCATTTGTCATTCAATGAACAAAGAACAGAGACAAAACACGGAGTAATTAATCCAAGATTAGTTTTCGTTTAACAAGGGGGACAAAGATTTGTGAGCAAACCTGTTTAGGTTAATTACTACAATGCTATTGTTTATGAAGAAAGCAGTTTCATATTCCCTTAATCTAATAAATGATCAGAACAGTTTGAATTGTAAGCGAAGACGATTTTTGTAACAAGGACAAGTAACTACAAAGATATAATAACAAGGTGGCTCTAAAAAAATTTTACTAGAACCACTTTGTTATTTAATCTTTGTAAGCTTGGTATTGAAAGCGTATTAATTTACTGTTGCCGATTTAAATTTATTGATGAATAGCTCTTTCACGTTGTTGGGCACTTCAGTGTAAAATGGACTTGAAGACCAGTACTTAAATATAATAATATTAATCGATTTAGTGTAGTGGGATATTGTGAATTAGCTAGGAAAGTTATTTTAAATATAAATTAGTTAACTTTAACCAGAGTTCCATTAGATTAATATGTAAGAAAGTGTGTATGCAGACTCTGTTAGTCGTTATTGTTTGGATAATACAATCTCTCCTTGATAACAAAGCGATGATAATGTATTTGACGTTCCATCCCTCTCTAACAATCTCAAATATCAACCAACTCCCCCGCCTCTGCAAAGTATTGATCGATTTTGTTTTAGGTCATAGACACCGATCGATATTTCTTTCATTACATATCATTTTATCATACATGACAGTGTAGCGAGCATGAAATTGATTTTAGCAAGATAATTTGACATCTATTGCATAATGCATAGTGTCACGTTTTTTGTAAATATGTTTTGTAGTTAAAATGCACCAGTAAATGATGATGATAATGATGAATGGTGCATTAAAAAACTGTTTGACTGTTTACACTTCTTTATGTGGAATAATTTTAGATTTTCATTATTCAATAAATTTACTTCCATAACTTTTTTCAATTATTTATAGGGTGTTTTTTTAATATTCATAGTTGCTATGTCTCAGATTACTGCTATGTTATAAAAGTTTAAATAAATTTTCCCTCCGTATTTTGGTGGAGATGAGGGTGGAGTGTGCCGTTTGTAATAATCTTCAAAGATTCGATTCCCGATCAAGCCTTAAATAGAAAAATTCCCTCTCTTGCGCCAAGCTAGTTAACCAGAAGAGTTGTCCTAAGTTTTGACCTCATGTAAATAAAGTACCTAAATAAAAAAGAATTACCATTATTTTTTCTTTATAATGTTTATTTCGTGAAGCGTGTAAAAAAATATTTCACCATATGATGAGGTGAAATACTTTTTTACACACTAACATCACTTTTAAGTTATATTTGTATTAAAACAGTATGTTATTGAAAACGTTAAACATATATAGGTACCTATATGTTCCTATACTTGTTGAAAAAACTTTTATGTAGTTTCATAGCCCCAGGAACATAAAACATCCAAATTATATTCATATATTTTTACCACTATAGAATTTCACTAAACACGAATATTTATTATGAACTATATTAAGATAATAATATCATATGTACGTATAATAATAAAGTATTTTTTTGTAAAACTTATAGAACTATTTAAACTTATTCACAAGTGATTTAAACTTCTCAAATTAGTTGTCTTCGTAAAACAACAAACAATTTTAAAACGAATTGAATACAATTAATATTCGAGTCATCAGTGAGTTAATGAATTCCGAATAAACGCTTCGAGAGGCGAACGAACAAGGTGAAGTTGGTGAAGCCGCACAAAAGATAACCTCGGCTCGGTGCGCGATAGCACAAGCGGCGATAACGACGTCGAGTAGGTAATAATACAATGCCAACTCAACGCTCGACCTACCTATAACTATCGCTTTTTTACACTGTCTTCCTCTACGCGCTTGTCCCACACCCTGTATAATGTTGCTCTATAATACTAATATTTGTAAATTTTCTTATCAGAGAATTGTTATTTTATTTTTATAGTTTAATCTAATAGAAAATTCTGTATCCTTTAATGTATTTTTTGGATTTCTTCATTGAAATATTATTATTTTTTGATTAGATTTGAAATGCGACCAATTCTAGTAGGCTATGGCAGAGAACCGTAAACTCAGTTAAGTTTTCCGAATCGTATCAAAGTTACTATAAAAATGTGACGTTTATCACATAGCTGTCAAATGATTGTATTGGTAATCTGACGTCTACGTCACATAGTCGGATACTCAAGAACGATTCGGACTACGATGCTATGACGACGCCACATAACGGGAAAGTGGTCATTTTATCTCAAATGTTGCCACAATGAAAATATTTTTGCTCTTTTTCGCACTTTCCGTAGGCAGTCGCGTAAGTTCATTGGAACGGTAATGGACGTCGTGTCAGTATTTGGAACTCGCGATTTTTGTTTATATCTACGATAATCTGCATTGAAAACTTTTGTAACCACTTTAAAAATCGTACACATTGCACAAGGATGTAGTGCGCGCATTTAGTATTAACCCAAATCGTGTTATTTACCTGTTTTCCGTGTCTTTTATCCACACCTCTTGCTACTGAAGTAATTGATTGGTCTAAAGAAGTGTAGTGTAATTTTTTCCTTTCGTATTATCGTTTTACATCAAAGTTTGTTGATATATTAAGTTTTTATGAACTTTAATTTGTATTATAATTGTTATTGTGTAAGTTTAACGACGTTATAAGTGTACAATAGTATTTTAATAGGCGTATAACAAAATGGTTTCGTTGTGAACAGGTAAGAGACATACGTCGTTTTAAAATTGAGTTATACTTTTACTGCTTTTCTTATTTTGTTGATAAGATTTGTAATTATAACTCGCTGAGTTATGTCCTTAGTTCTTGTGTGCTGTGATTCTCTGTTACCCAAGTCTTAATTAGGGCAAACAAACCTGTTTGGAAAGTGGATTACAAATTTTTTTCATGTTTGTAGCAAACTTATTAAATATTTGGTCACTGTTGACAACAGTGGCTAAGTACTTACAAGTGGAATTGTTCTTGGTTAGGGTGTCTTTATAAACACCATTGGTATGTCATTCAAAAACCAGTTTGAAAATTGTTTAGATTCATAGTATGTTGCAAAACAAAAAATATTGCAAGAATATATTTTATTCACTGATAACATCGACATGATATTGGTTTTGCTTCTAAAGAAATAATCAAACCATAATATACCATTGTGGGTTACCTATAATGCGAAGAGATGGCAATGCCTTGTAGCCTAAGAAATACTAGACAAAGATTTGACATGGCTATCAGGGCCGCTGTAGCATAATGGTCAGTGCATTTGCCTGGATAATCAAGGGTGCGGGTTCGAGTCCCATCTGTTGCCTGGTCGTGCCTGCACGTGGAATTGTTTCTAGTACAATTTTCTTTCGATTTAATCATGTACCAGTTAAATTTTTAAAAAAATATACATAAACATTATAAAGACCTATACCTATCAAAACGGGATATGATAAAGCGATATATCGGCATTAACTGTCAGACTACAGTGGAGTTTGACAGTAGTCTGACAGTTAATGCCGATAAATTGTTTTATCATATCCCTTTTCGGTGGTCAGTCTAGAGAAAACATTTTATATTTATCAATATTATGACTTTTTAAAGTAATGTATTGACTTTATAGATATTAACGGGATTGTTACCATGTACCTTGTTTTTTATGAGTCTCCGATATTTCGGCTTTCGCTTGCAACAGTGCCGAAATATCGGAGACTCATAAAAAACAAGGTACATGGTAACAATCCCGTTAATATCTATAATGCTAGTGACCATGAAAGTTTAAAACAATATAATATATTGACTACCTATATACATACAGATGATTCACACAAGAAGCCAAATATTTTTATTATTTGTTGTATGTGTTGTACTGTTTTTTTTATTTATTGGCCTTAGAATAAATTGTCTGCTATTAACACTTGCCAATGGATTTTTAATTCTGAAATAAATGTTTATTATTATTATTTTATTAAAGTATTTTTATAAACACTAGACAAGTATTTACTTTTAGTGCGTTAATTTTGTGTTGAAAATAAAAAGTGTGAAGAATAGTGACTGAGTTTGGTATTTGCATCACAGAGCACCTCTGTGATGCAAATATTTTGAATTCTGGTCACATGATCACAGATTAATCTGAGCAAATTGTTATCACCAAACAGCTCAACCAACCGTACAGTAATTTCTAACCTCAAACGGAAACTTACCTCTCAGCATGACATATAACCAAATTAATCTTTCTGGGTGCTCAAAATACTCCGAGCAAATAGATTTACATCGCATTGTACTGAGCAGAGATACCAAGCACTTGAGATTTAGTTCAGATGTAATAAATGTACAATTCAGACTAAAAAGATTTCTCAGATGCAAATAATGAACGCAGCTAATGTATCTTTGCAGATGCCACAAACATAGTGTGTGTGTGTTTGTGATACCCTAGCATAGACCATAAATGTTGTCGTTGTTTATATTGACAAACTTGCCACCATGGTAACAGAAATTAAAACCAGAAATGTCTTTGATTATAGATAATATTATTATATCATAATCTGAAATTCCAAAAAAACAATGGGTTCCATTAATTAAGGTAGTGGCACCATTGACCGATAAGATGACCATTGATCGACATTTTTTCTGTGATCAATAAAATAAGAGTAGGTAAACAATCAATAAATATGGTAAAGCCAAGCGTTAGCCATATCTTGGTGTTTATCATTGATGCCACTACCTTAGTTGTTGTCCTGTATGTAAATATATTGGATGAAAAAATATTAGTAGTGCAGCAGAAGCCATAAAAAGGTATTCGTTACTGACCTATATTTTTGGTTTGATTTACTAATTCTAGTGGGGGCAAATCGGAAGTAACGGGCTAAACCAGATTTCAAAATACGTCCCTGAATACTCAGGTGTAGGGAATTTACTAAGTGCATTATTTATAGGGTCCGACCGAAAGTTCGGTTTCAGTTTCGGCCGAGTTTCGGCCAAAAATTAAGTTTTGGCGGCAGTTTCAGTTTCGGCCAAAATTGGCCGAAACTTTTGCCGAAACCGAAGCTGATTTCGGAAGTTGTCGTGCCTTACTTCATTACTCGCACAGCAGTCCATATCCTATATTGAGAAGTGCAAATACAAACCAAAGTATTAATTAATAAGATTTCAAAATACCAATGGGCATTTAATGAAGCAGTAACAATTTGTGAATTGATTATTGATAACTGATAAAATTTTTGCATTTCATGTCCTAATTAATGCTGAATAATGGGTAAAATGCACCAAATTTCAGTATTTTAAGGCATTTTAATCTTGACCACGTGAGTTTCGGTTTCGGCCGAAACTGAAGCCACGGCCGAATATTCGGTTTCAGCCGGAAAACCAGTTTCGGTCAGACTCTAATTATTTATAATAGGTTATTTGCTCAAAACACAGTACACTCATGACTTTAAAATTGAATGCATTTTAATATTTTATTTATGAAAATGTATTGAGATAAGAAAGAGCAGAGCCTCAAATCAAAACTTAAAAGAAAAACAATTTCTTTGTTTATTACTATTTATTAAGTTCACAGAAACCCCTGTTTTTAATTTCAGTAAAGTAACATTGAACGTCAAGCAGGATGGCTCTATTGGAAAGTCAATTGGACTCTGCTCTCCCTCAACTGAAGAGCGATGAAGAGATGCATCCAAGTAGCGGTGATGAGGGTAAGACCCCAGAGAAGAAGCCCAAGGTGGAGAATGGAGACATATATGGATTGGAGAAAGGTAACTATTAAGTTATAATCATGTAACTCAGGAGGAGCTCAATGGCGCAGGTGGTTAACGCGTTCGGCTGCGATCGTTGAAGTTAAACAACTTTCGCAGTGGTCGGTCATTGGATGGGTGACCAAAAACTTATCTCAAGCTGCTTCATGCTTCGGAAGGCGCGTTAAGCCATTGGTCCCGGCTGCATCTGCAGTCGTCATCGCCCACTAATACGTACTGGGCCCGTGTGTTGAGTCATGACCCAAGCTCCCTATTCTATCCATAGAAAAGGCATGTGCCTCAGCAGTGAGGACATTAATAGGCTGGTGATAATGATGGTGCCAGGTAGCTCACTGAATATTGTTAGAGGGAGCTACCAGGCAAAGTAAAAGTAAACTAAAGGGGTGAAAATAAAAGAAGTTGTAGGTTGTCTATATTCTCTATCTCTATATTGAAATAAAATCCAAACCTTACAAACAAACAAAACTAGCTCCCGCTAGGGGTCACTTCATTGGATTCAAGAAGTGTGTGTTGGGCCGCAAAAGGTTACAGTCATATAGAAAAAAACTCAATCCCTAAATAGAAATACAACAGAAAAAACATTCTAAAGAAAATTTTACTAGAAAAAATTCCACGCAGACCAGACAGCAGACCGGACTCGAACCAGCGCCCTCCGCTATCCGGTGTGATGCACTAAACATAATGCTACCGCGGCCCTAATTGTTCGTGTCGTATTTGCTCCAGTATTTCTTAAGCTACAACGCAGCGCCATCTCTTCTGCTACCTTTTTTCTTGTGACTTTTTTATCTAGTAAAATTTTCTTAAGATTTAAACATGTAGCAGTTCAATGCTTAAAATAATAATACAAGTTTATATTCCCTCGTCTTCTCACCAGTGCCTGGTGGTCTACCATTGAGTGTGGACTACCGTTCGCCCGTGTCGCATTTCGTACCGCCCGCGGTGGAAATGTACGCTGCCAGACAGAAGCCTGAAGTTATATCACGTGAGAATTTCAACTTTGTTTTATCACACTATCACACTAATATTATAAAGCCGAAAGTTTGTGAGTGTGTATGTACTTCTTCACATTTAAACGGCTGGAGCGATTTTAATGAAATTTGGTATGGAGTTAGCTGACACCCTGGATTAACACATAGGCTACGTTTTAAATGCGGGAAAATATGCCTAACAAACGGCGGGCACAGCTAGTTATTTATTAAAAACAACAGGAAACATATTACCATGCATTAAGAACCCACAATAGTTTTTTTAGTATAATACACTGTCGGAAGAACCTGAATTCAGTTCACACTATTACTAATTCAACTATTTTAAATAGTTCAATTTAATAAAGAAGTTTCAATCGGCAACTGCAAATATTAATAATCATCTCACTTATAAACACAAGGACGAGATGCGTATCTTGGGATGTATGTAGCTTAGGGGTGACGAGAAGGATATGTTGATGAACAACTACAGAACGAGAAGTTTCAACGCCAAATAATTTGGAGACGAGGCCGGCCAAGGATGATAAAGATGTCCGATCAATTCGTCTGGTGACGGTCGAATGATACAGCAATTCCATCCCCACCCTGCCATATGAACCTTTGCATGCTTTTACTAATAACCGATCGCAAAACATTATTTTTTATTTACACATCAACTACTTATATTATTTGTTGACTGATTCGTATGTTATTATTTTAGGTGTCGTCAATTTATGTTCATTAATAAATTACATACTTACTATAATTATTTTGTAAGCAATTATATCTTTTTTTATTTAATTTCGAATTTTTCTTTTTTTAAGGTTTGCATCAATGTATTTATTAATTAAAAACACTCTTGAATAGCAGGTTACAATAAGTATAAATTTTTGCGTAATTGTTTACATTGAAACGGTTAATCTTAAAAAAATCTTTGATAATTCATATAAGTATCTAGGTCCACTTGCAGCAAATTTGTTAAATCTCGATTCAACTTAAACTAGATTCAACCCATAAAAAATGTCACAAAGACATTTATATCTATTTGACATCAATCTTGTTCTAGATAAATCGAAATTTAGCAAATTTGGTTCACTTTGAAAGAGGTTTTTTTTTAATTATTTACCTATTTAGTTTAAGAATGTTTTTAATAAATAAATACCAATCTTACCTAGCATGTTCATTATTACCCGCTAGACCTTTTCGTTCCTTTTTTTTGCTTAAGTTTTATTTATTTAATTTTATTTTCTCAGCGAGCACGAGCCTTTTAATGCCGGCGAAACGAAAGCGCGGAAGGCCGAGAATTGACAAGACAAGCCCCGAATATTTAGCCAACTTGGCGGCGAGAAAACAGGCAAAAGAAATGGGTACGTCGACATATTGTGAAAGAAAAAAAAATAGTTAAAAATTGATTTTAGAAGAAAAATAAAATATAGAATGAAATTTTGATAAAATCTAATAACATTATATGCAATCGTAAAAGAAAATGCAAATGAAATTTACAGAACATGAATACCTATTTCGAGTAGATTGAATTTAAACGCTTTGTTATTTAAAGCTTTCAAATCATTTATGACAGCAGGCAATGGATGTAAGACACAGTACCCTTTGCCTTCAAAGCTGGAAAAAAATTACTAAAATATAATTTACAGGTTTTAAAAGCTTTATTAAAATTCATTTACAGGGTTAAAAGCTTTATTATAATTCAAAACAGAGCAAACATAAAAAATGCTGAATTATTAAAAAAAGAAAAATATTAAAAATTACGCTGTGTAGAAGCGTATCCTTTGACTTATGACCTATCCTGTGGCGGGAGATGCAAAAAAGGAACTTAATTTCCTCCTCCCACTAATTTCAAAACACTTCAAGATTTAAAAGAGAAATGTTGAAATTATTAATCTTTTGCTATTGGGCGATTTAGTATCCTAGGAAGACAGAAAGAGAGAAAGAAGTGCCCAGCAGTGGGGACATTAATAACTAAATCATTATATTCTGTTTATGAATAATGAAACTTTAAACTTCTCATCAAAACACTAAAACTTAGGGTTCAATGACATTTGGTCTTTAGCCCGTATTCGGGTGCATGAAAGATATTACTCGAATTTAGACACCCGAAGCAATATTTACACTGGAATACGGGCTGGAAGACGGTGCCGGGTAATCAAAACGAAAACTACTCGACTCCGTTCATTAACCGACTTCAAAAAAGGAGGAGGTTCTGCGTCGGAACGTTTGATTTTTTTTTGTGTGTGTTCACCGATTTCCCTGTCAAATGTGGACAGATTTCACAAATTTTCTATAGGCGCTAGTGTAGCGTGAGGTCTCCGAAATGTCAAATATTATTGCTTGTGGGTTGATTACGCGGGTTTATTTCCAATGGTCAAGAAATCTGCAAAATTTGGCCACTAGGGGCGCTGTAATCGCTTGACCCAAAACTTGTATCAAATACATACCTATTAGCTTATATTCATTTTTATTAAACAAATTACAAATGCCGCGTTGTGCAGTTCTCGGTTGTTGTGAGAATACTGCATGCTTACCGACTAAAATATAATTTTATATGTTGCTTTGAAAGGCCCCCCTTTTGGGTAAAACTGAGCTGATGTTTACATCATGGTATGTATCAGGGGCAGGTAATTGCATCTGGATGTCTTCATTTTGATCAGAAAAAACTGATCAAGTCTGTAAAAAAAACAATGTTATACTGATGCAAAAATGAGGTAGATTGACTAATGAGCCTGCTAAAAGTTACTGAGATCCATGAACTATTAAAATAATCATAGAAAATGTATTTATGTACCGAGAATGAGCATTCTAGCATAATAATAGAAAGAGTACCTTTCTACTAGATTAGCTTTTCTGCCTTGCTTCTCCTTTTCAACTTTGTTTTCAGCGGTATTACAGACCATGTTGAATACATTTTCACCACTTATTTAATACTTTTCATAACAAAAAACCCCGTTTAAAATATGACAGCTGCAATATTCGGCTGTTGTTAGGGTCAAGCGTTTGCAGCGCCATCTATGTCAAGCTTTGCGTATACTTCTCCATTAAAATAATGTTGTTAATATTTGGTAATAACTCGGCTTAATAGGGTATTTGACAGTATTAAAAATAAAGTGCCAATTATTAGCATATTATGTGTTTATAATGAATACTGGCAGGGTATTTTATTATTTTTACAAAAAAAATATACATAATTTTACTAAAAACCCACGATAAAGATAATAGTTTTCTTATCTATTGTCACGTGACCCAAAACGCTTGGGATTGGCGGAGCCTAAAATGACATCTCGTTAAAGTGACATTATATTGTATCGTTTGACGTTTTACTAACAGTCGTGTGACGTCACACACGCTATATTGTCCAGAGAAACGTTTTCGCGGCAACTTGAAAATGGAGGAGATTTTGATTTGGTTATTTTACTGAAATACACAACACAATGATATATATCCACTTTTTACGGACTCCATAAACAATAGTCAATAACGTGAGATCGTTTTCTAAAACTTGTCAAAGATCGTATTATGGCAAATATGAGTTGTGTGGCAATGAATGTAAGTTATTTAAAAGCGGAACTAAGAAAAAATATTATGTCCTCCTTTTTTTCCGAACAAAACGGAACTGCGCATCACTGTGGCATGGCCGATCCGATTATGTTTAGGATACGGTTCTTTTGTATTAAAATATGATTTATTTAAAATAAACCTTTGATTTCACGTGCGTATTAATTAACTTTTAAAAAGTTACAATTCAGGACCTCACTCAACAGTGGCGCCATCTGATGAGACAGAAAACGGTAGCCCCAATTGAGCCATTGCGTATTTTCTGTCTGCCCCGCGGCAAAGTGACGGATATTTATCCATAGAGGTATAAGAATAGAGTAGGGGAGATATATACTCTACTACAAGTGGAAGTGTCCCTCTAATAGAAAGAGAAAGAAGATGAGAGACGGCTAGCTTTCTCTCTCTAATCGCGCATGCGCATTGGCAACCTACTATTTCGATGTTAGCTATCTCTCATCTTCTTTCTCTTTCTACTAGACGGACACTTTTAGAGCCGCCTTCCCCACTCTATTCTTATACCTTTATGTATTTATCGCGTTTCGTTTGCTGCAGCTGCGGTGATGAACAATAGGACGCCATCTAGCGACACGGGGGAGAAACGCAAGCGGGGCAGGCCCAGAGTTGACAAAACCAGCCCCGAGTATCTGGCCAGGAAACGCGCCAGGGAGTTGGGTGAGATTATATGCATTTATTTATATACAAAACCACCTTAAAGCTTATAATGCTAACACACTTGTATATTAAAACTAAGGACTAAATATTAAAATAGTTAACGTGAAAATAGTTACAATGAGGTTGTGACAGTATCAAAAATGTAGAGCTAATTGTTGGCATCGGTAGATGAAATATTGCCAACGGTTTTTACCATTTTAGAGAGAAAAAAAAAACTAAAAACCACAAAAAAAAACTATTATCACGTGATCGGAAACACCTGAGACTTGGGTTTAATTTGTAAGCTGTCATTTCATACAAGGATTTTTTCTAGAAGCCCTGGAAAGGAAGGCGAAACGCGAATATAAACGCCGAGGGACTGCAGGTCAGTGTTAAAATTAAGCAAATTTACTCTGTATCACCATACAATTAAGGTTCAAACTCCGTTTCACTCTAAATATTATCGAGTGAAACAAAATAGAGCAATCTCTATAAATCATACACTTAATGTTCAAATTGGGTTATTGGGTATGTTAAAAATAAGTAATTTTAATCTTCATAACCATACACTCAGGGTTAAAATTGGGTATAACGAGCTATTGTCATAAGAACATAGAGTATTAAAGACTGACTTTCTAAGAATCAAAGCAAGACAGTCTGCTAGAATGAGATAACAATATACATACTATCACTGTCTCACTGGCTGGTTTGCATTTGAATCGCTTTTAGAAAAAGCGGTAGGCAAAATCATTGTAAGTAAATAGAAATTTATAGCAAATTGTAGTGTGTATCTAACTCACTGTGACACTTAACACGTGTGTGAGAGCGAGCTAATGGCTATTCTGTCAGTGGTAGGAATTTCTATACTTTTTTTTTCGTTTGATATAACAGCAAATTTTAATTTAGCTATTTAATGTTGAACCTTTTTTCTATGTCAATAGAGTAAAAAATTATGAATTTGTTATAATGAGTTTTGTTTGATTTTCTATCTAGATGAAAATATTAATCCGATTTGGAAGTATAAATATATTTTATTTATAAAAAAAAGTATAGAAATCATCATGTAGTGTAATATAAAGGAAAGTAACAAAAACGTGTTTGTATACTAAAGTTTTTTTTGTATAATTAAAAACAGTTTTGCTTTGAGATAAAAAATAAATACCAAGTTTAAGATCTCACGATTTTTTTGTTTTCGATCTATGTAGTTTGTCTTTTCATCTATAATAGTATCGGAGTCCTGGTCTATAAGTATAATAACATTTTTTTACGCAAACGCAATTAAAACACATTTTTGTTTTACCTCTAACTTGTAAACGTAAACAAATAAGTTGAATTATAAAAATAAGTAACATTTTCAATACGTATGCTCAAAAACTCTATTTACGGAGGTTGTATACATTATTGGAAAGTTCAAAATTGCAGGCTATACCACGGAGCGTGCGTTAAAACGTTTTAACGCACGCTCCCTTACATGGCGCAGTGCATACCCTATACGGGTTTTTTAAAATTCGGTCGAACCTAATTGAAAGCGCTTTTAATCTATACATCTGTCGCACTTTATTACTAAAAGAAAAAGAGACGAAAGATGTAGTTCTAATTTTCACCACCCGCACGTGGCGCCTTTTGAAAATGCGTGCCATATTCTTATCCGAAAAATTTTACTTCATCAAATTACATATAAATACTGTTTTCTCGCAAATGTGTTGAAATACATTGTATGACATTCGTGCTGAATTGGTGTTTATAACCTCGTGACTAGGGTAACCTCGACTTCGTCTCAGGCTTACATTGTCTACTCGTTTGTAATAACCAACTTACCGCACAAATATCATTAAATTTACTCCATAAACATTTATAACTGAGAATGTTCGTATTTCAATAGCTTTTTTGACAGTATGAAAAATAAAGTACCAATAATTGGCTTGTGTATTTAACATGAATTTTGGGAGTGATTTCATTATGCTGCCAAAATAATAGTTTGTAATACATATATGTTTCTTAAAAAAACATGAAAGAGAAAAGTGAACGCCTAGGATGGTGGAGCCTCAAATGACGTCACTTGCTTGTAAACATGCTGTCGAAGTCGAATTACTTTGTAATGTTTGATATTTTGATGAGAGCCGTGTGAGTTTACCCGCCCGCAAGGCGCCACATTTGATAGAGAAACAACTCCATTATTATTTTAGTTTTTTAACTGGTATATTATATAAGCAACAGTATTGTATTTACAACTCTGTGGAAATTCTCACAATTAAAAAAAAAGATTTATCCATTTATTTTTGGAGTCACAAAAACACAAATAAATAACGTATGAATATTTTCAAATACTTGTCAATTAGCTTAATGTTGAGTAAGTGAGAATATGAAAAGCAGCTTAAGGCGAGAATTGCTTGAGCTAGATCCTAATACTGGAAGGAATTCTTGTAAATAACCAAGATGAAGTGCAAGCAATTTACTCCCTAAAAGTAGCAGGTCTCCAACTTAAAATTACATTGTGATTTTTTTTGTTTACGTTTACAAGCAAAGGTAAATTGGGATATCACTAACACGTGTTTATGGTTTTATTTCGTCCACACTATCACTATTAAAATAACTCATAGTTTTTGGTTGAAATAAAAGGTATCACATCACAAATCATCATGCTTTTTATCCATATAAATTGTTATTTTATTTTGTGTCTAACAAAAATGCATATGTTTCTATTATATTTCTATTCAAAATTTCGCACAAAAGGAGAAAATGCATTCACATACCTCCGTCTACAGCGAAACCGGTGTTAAAACCTACCGTTAAAGTCGCGCAGCGAGTAAAAAAACTGCAAACCGGTAAAAAACCGATCGGTGCCGGTAAAAAACCGGTTACGGCCGCTATGAGGAAGGTCCAAGGCAAGATAGCAGCGAAAAAGGTAGCGGATAAGCAAGCTTTGATAAGGAGGAACTCGAAATTTATAAAAAGAAAAGGTAAATAGGTATTCGACGTGCCACTTTCGAGTTCGAATGAGTGTTATAAGTTTTAAAGGAAAATGAGCTTTATTTTGTTCTGGTTATATTTTTTTTTCCTTTATTGATTATATAGGGTTTAATAGGGTATTTGGCAGTATTAAAAATTAAGTGCCAATTGTTAGCATCTGTATTTAGAATGAATATTGGGTAGGCTTTTTACTATTTTTACAGAACAAATACAGTATATTCTCACTAATCCGGCACTTCGATTTATTGCGTCATATGCTAGTAAACTTCTGGTTAGAGTGACATTACATCGTATCGTTTGACGTTTAAATGACAGTTGTGTGACGTCACATACCAGTAAGACGCCATATTGTCCAGTGAAACGTTTTCGCGGCAACTTGAAAATGCAGTTTTTTATTTAGTTATTTTTACTGAAATACACAATAGAATGATGAATATCCACCTTTTATGGACTCCATAAACATTAGTTAATAATAAGTAATATTTTCTAAAACTTGTCAAATACCCCATTATTTTGATTATGCCACCCTCGACAAGTTATATAATTTTGATTGCTTACGGCGATAAATACAATTTTTTTACAATTTTACATAACTATTAGGCTACGTCCGAAAGGGGAAAAGCAAAGATATAACTTTGTCCAATTGTGTATATTCTACTCTCTCTACTTAGTTCCGGACACATTCCATAACTATATTGATACATATAACGTTTCACATAGTTAAAACATTTCTTTAAAAAAAAAAGAAAAAAATGAAAAACATGTCATTACTTTGCGTATTCATGGTCGTAGTAAGACTTTTTTTAAATAACGTGATTGTGGACAATGGACTCAAATGACATAAGAAAAAATAAAACTACAAAAATTATGTTACTGTGATATACTTTTTTAATGGTTTCATGAAAACAATAATTATTTAGCGTGGTGTAGGTATGATTATATTCATTGACTTTCGTGTTTTTTTAGTGATTATTTTTGTTTAGTGCATTCGAATTCCATTTTAGTTTTTTAAAGGATAAAGTTCATTTTCTAATAATAATTATATTTATGTCTTTTCGAACTCGAGAGGACTTGAATGGTAGTTTTTGCTGCATGAATGTCAAGGTAGATTTTTTTAAATAATTATATTTCTACGCGTATGACGTTTTTTTTTTATTAAGGATACTTTCTAGAATCAGATTTTAATTATTTTTTTATTATTATTATTATGTATGTCGTAATGAAAAAAATTTTGGTAATACATTTTATACAATTATTATTATATATTTTTTATTGATTTGGTGGTGTCAAAATCTTAGGTGCATGTCAGCTCAGATTACAGAACAAAAGGCAGATGGGACGCACGGAATACACAAGATAGCCCACCGAAGTAAATACGAAGATAACAATATTTTTTTTGCCTTCGTATTCGTATACAGTTTTTAAAATATTTATTTTTTAAGTTTTTACGCACACCACTCATAAAATTAAACAAGTTTCACGGTGTAGATGCACAGATTTATTTATTTATTGACTTTACGCATCCTTTTTCAGATTGCAATAAAGTCATTATTCAGACGACTCATCCTGAAAAGGATGCGAAACGTCAATAAATAAATAAATCAGTGCATCTATACCGTTGAAACTTGTTTTATTTAGTTTTTACAATATAACAAAGTTTTGTTAAAAGAAAATATTTAATCACGGAACGTATTCACAACACGACGCGTTATAGCGTTCTGACGCGAGTCTGTATTCGCTTTTGACTTCGTATTTGCTTTGGTGGCCGCACTTGCGTGTTCCGTGCGTTCCATTTACCTTTTTTTCTGTAATCTGAGCATGTCAGTTGATTTATAGGATAGAAATTTATAACTTTTATTTTTTATTTATTTAATAATTATGATACTTAAGTTATTATTATATTTTTAGGCATTCAACTACTAGATTTATTAATTTAAAGAAAATAACTTTAGATTAATTAAAATAAATAGGTATTTGATGACGACAGTTAGATGATATAAATGCAACTAATTTGTTTTCATCACACTTATCATATAATAGATCCTACGATGCAAATATAAAACAATTAATACTAATTATTATTAGATACATAATTTAAAACATGCTTTAATATATCGTCGACAAGTATTTTGGCGGAAAAATGAATATGGAACCGAAACTAATAATTGGTGTTACATACTTATTTAACAAAACATTTTTTTTATTCCCTTCGCATTTTTATCAGTATTTAATACAAAATCACAATCTGAACTTTTGACACCCTATGAATTCTTAAATAAAAAATCATTATTACAGAAAATATTATTACGATTAATTTACCGTTTTTATTTAGAGAAAATCTAATATTTTCTCTCAACCTTTTCTCTTATTGATTGTAGATTTGTCTCTTAGGAGAAGAAACTTTATTTTAACTGAAGTTAGTGTGATTGCAACTCTACTGTCGTTCTTACTGACAATTTTGTTGCAGTCCTGCCAACTGCATCCGAACTAGTGTTGCAGGAGTATCGATAATTCAATATCGATAGTTCAATACAATAGGTTGATACTTTCGATATTACTATCGATAGTCCAAACTATTGCTGCAAAGCTGAATTAAATAAAATTTCGTAGTAGAAATTGCAGTTATTATGTAGTCAGTCTGCCAACATTTATTTACTGTATTAAATGCGATAATTTGTATGTATGTCTCATTTATATATTTGATCATCCATTTGCATGACAGTAGTTTTAGACGAGTGGTGTCTATGTGTGTGTATTTTTCAGATTTAATTTCTCAATCGGTAGCTGAATTTCATCAACAAATTCTTTTGTTATCTAATTTAAAGGAAATCTTTTTAATCGTATTATCAACTTTTAACTCCAGACAAAAACAGAGGTTAAAGAGGGATGCTACTCGTCTATGGGTATAGCTATCTCGCTCTGACTTAGCTTAGGCTTGGATGCACTGATTTAATTTATTTATAGACTTTCGCATCCTTTTCAGGAATTATTATTATTATCATTATCATTATCATCAGCCTATTAATGTCCCCACTGCTGGGGCGCCAGCCTTCCCTACAGATGGAATAGGGAGATTGGGCCATGACCCACCACGCGGGCCCAGTGCGGATTGGTGGGTGCTAACGATTGCATATGTAGCCGGGACCAACGGCTTAACGTGCCTTCCGAAGCACGGAGGAGTTCGAGATACTAAATTTCTGGTCACCCATCCAAAGACCGACCACTGCGAAAGTTACTTAACTTCAACGATCGCATCTAACGCGCTAACCACTTTCGCCATCGAGCTCCTCAAGAGATCTTTTCAAGAATGCGTAGTCCTAAAAAAATAAAGTTTTAAAAATCTTCCAAGGAAATATCCGAACGCTCAATAAAATTCTTTCGAAGGTAGCTCGACAAATTAAATAAAAAAAAACATTATTCGGACGACGCATTCCTGAAAAGGATGCGAAACGTCAATAAATAAATAAAATCAGTGCATCTAACCTGTTGAAGCTAGTTTTATTTAATGTGTGATGTGCGTGAAAACCTAAGAAACAAATATTTATTTATTATATAATTGTCTGGTTTAAAGAGTTTATAATACTGTCTCGACGGGGAGTGTCTAACTACTTTTAAACAGTTATGGGTACCCAAAAAGGAAAAATCTCGAACTCTGTGTCTGTGCTCGTAAGGCACGTTGAACCGTTGGCCCCGGCTACATCAGTAATGTGCCGTGTGGAGTTTGTCTTCATGTGCGGTTCTGTGTTTAGGGAAGGCTTGTGCCCCAGCAGTGGGGATATTTTATAGGCTGCTGAAGAAGGTGTCATTTGGGTAATGCCAAGTTTGAATAAGGTTCATTCAAACTCTGAAATTATTTTTGCAAACCGACTTAAAAAAAAAGTAGTCACTTGTACCACAGAGAGGTTTTTTACCAATCAAGTGTAGTATGAGCGACGGCGCGGACGTGATCAATTGATAGCTGAACTTATTCGAAGACTTCTTGCTTATCATTCGAGTTTAGACCGTTCTGACTTGAGTCACTCAAATAGTACTAAACTAGCAAACCAGTGAACCAAATGTTCACCAAAAAAAAAAGAAATGTATTTAATTAATTGAAAACTTCGGAGATTTTGTGTGGTTTCGTTTGAAATAGAAATCACGTGATTTCTCGAAAACCGGAAGTGCTACGTTACTCCCATCCGGTTTGTAGTCTTATCAGACTATTCTCAACTTATAACTTAAACATTCTCTTTATTTATCTCTTACGGTTTGGCCGCTGAAACAGCACCACGGACGGACTGACGGACGGACGGACTTGTCTAATAGATAAGAGATTGGCTTCCCTTGTGCCACCATCACCATTTTAGATCATACCACGTCGCGCTGCATTCGTATCAGTTAAGCAACTTTCGTAATGACCGTTCATCGGAATGTGTGACCAAAAATGTGCTATCTCGAGCTCTTCCGTGCTTCGGATGGCACGTTAGCAATTTATTTATTTTTTGGAAGACCAACAGCTATTAATAAAAACTTAAATAACAACAGAAAGCCAATTACAGGTCTTCACCAATAAAAACATACTACACCATAATTAAGCACACTTTTAACATAATAATTATAAAAAAAGCATTGTACAATTGCCTATTTGTCGAAAAATGCACTGTTCAATACCCGCCTCAGTGATGGAACGCTAGTGTAAAACAAATCAATGCCAGTTTTCTCAGATACAATATTAATACTCGAAGCAATTACCAATTCGAACGCCAGCGTGGTAGGTCGTGGCCCAACCTCCATACTATTCCATCCACAGGTTGCCCCAAGCAGACATTAATAGGCCGATGTTCTATGGATCATGATATTAATAGATTAATCGTTTCCAGACTCCGCCGCTTCTTCCTCTACTGGCGACACAACACCACGCGTCAAGCGTAAATACACTAAACGCACACCAAGCACCAAGAAGAATGATATGGTAAGTGAAATCATCGCGACAAAAATTTCATCCCCATCTTGATGCGTGGCTATCCACAACCGTGCGTTTTTGTCGAAATTTTTACCACGTACGACAAAACTGTGGAATATGTTGTCGCCAGCAGTGTTTCGGGACCAACCCGACCCAAAAACCTTCAAAAAAGAGCGTACTCCTTCCTTAAAGGCCGGCATCGCATTTGTGATACTCCTGGTGTTGCAAGTGTCCGTGGGCGACGGTGATCACTTACCATCAGGTGAGCCGTCTGCTCGTATGGCCCCTATAACATAAAAAAAGTGAAATCACACTAATATTATAAAGGCGAAAGTTTGTGTGTGAGTTTGTATGTTCATTACTTCTTCACGTCTAAACGGCTGGAGCGATTTTCATTAAATTTGGTATGCAGTTAGCTGACACCCTAGATTAACACATAGGCTACGATTTACTGCGGGAAAATATCCCTAATTAACCGCGGGGTACAGCTAGCTATAGATAATCATCATCTAAGGTACAACATCACCATCTTATAGATACTTAATTAACTAAAACAATTGTAAAAATGTAATTTTAACAAAATGAGACCAATGCCCTTAATATACCGTTGGTCGGGCTTCAGTTGTGTACGATAACAATAGTAGACGTGTCTTTAACCTAACGCCTACTAAATTGGCGCCCTTGTCTTTGCGGTTGAATGGTATAGGTAAAGTCAAAACTCTTTCACTGGTCATATAGTTATACCAGGCCACTTAGAAAGATTAAGGCTACGTTTTACTGCGAGAAAATATCCCTAATTAACCGCGGGTAACAACGTGGGTCTTCATTTCTCATCAGCATTTTTGTGACGGTAGTTACGATCCAGATTTTTTTTCCAGAACCCGCAGACTGAACGCGTCAAAGGCAAAAGGGGGCGACCCAGAAAAGTGGACCAATTGACAGCTAACAACAGAACTACCCAGCAACCTAGTAAGTTATTTTATTAACTACATAATAAAAAGTCTAGCTAATGATAAAACTACTCTGGAAGAATCACTATATCTATGTATTCTGTGAACCGCATTATGATTTTGCACAGAAAAAGTTTTTGAAGTTACAACTACTTTAGCGGCGTTGTACACTTTTTTTTGTATGGGTAAAAATGTTAAACTCGCGTCATGACACGTGGGTTGATCGCAACACAGGCCACATGTTCTAATCGTAAGACGAAAACAAAAAAATTGGAAAGGTTGTTGACTTTCAATATATTGGACGAATCATAGTAATATTTTATTTTATCGTATTATAATAATAAGTCTCTATCTAAGACGTCCACGTGGCAGCTTTATTGCGAAGAAAATGCATTTTTTTTACAATAGATGTCGCTAGGTGCGCTTATGGGATTCATGTAAGTTGATATTGAAGTGACAACTTCTTTAGCGTCGTTGTACACTTTTTTGTAATGGGTAAAAACTGTTAAACTAGCGTCATGACACGTGGCCTGATCGCATCCGGACACCTGACAATCGAAAATTCGTTAGACGGAAACAATAAAATTGGAAAGGTTGTTGACTTTTAATATATTGGACGAATCATAGTTATATTTTATTTACGATATTATAATAATAAGTCTGTATCTAGAACGTCCAGGTGGCAGCTTTATTGCGAAGAAAATGCATTTTTTTACAATTGATGTCACTAGGTGTGCTTAAATGAGAAATTCTGAGAGATAAACTTTTTAATGCAATATAAATTGTCATGTTTGTGTACGATAGCGCAATAGATAAATATTGTATTCGACCACATAAATGATAGTACTTTTACACTGATAAAATTAAAGAAATTCGTGCAAAATTATTCCCTAACCATTCCAAAATATCAAAAATTCACAACGTTAATATTCAAGTTTTCACTTTTGCCGGCACACCCGGAGTGCAACCCGTCGTTTTTTTTTCATCAAACCTATCTACGTATAGGTCTGTAACTTCTAAAATAAGAGAATTATAAAACGAAAAAATAATATATGAAGTACTATGTACATAACCATGCAAACTTCCACCGAAAATTGGTTCGAACGATATCTAGTAAGTAGTTTTTTTAATACGTTATAAATCGTAAACCGCAATTTACCTTTCATGCAATCAACTCAAATAATAAAAAAAAAATGTTGCTTCTTCTGTTAAATGAGTTTTAGCGCCCATTCTTCTTGTTGACCAAAAAAATAAATATTTTTTTTATTGTTCTTATTTTAGGTTAAAAATACTGTTAATATATATTATATATTTATATAAAAATACTGTAAATAGTTTAGTTATGGTCAATAAAATTTCTTTCTTTCTTTCTTTCTTTTCTTCTTTCTTATTAGCTAAAAGATGTCTTTAATTGGTGGTTGGAAAAAACATTGGACGATTCAAAGGTGCTTATTATAAGCCAATCAATTTGATATAATAAGTTAATTTTTAAGTATCATTTCATTTTATTCCCAAAGTCTAATTAAAATAACTGAAGTATTTTGCGTTAAACGTTTATTAAAAAATATTCCCGTTTCGTAAACTGTTAAACACAGTTTAGTCGAATGTTTCAGAGATCCGTGTGCGAAGCAATCTCATGCCGGTGAACACGGAACCCATTAGTCTGGACAGCGACGATGAACCGGACTTGGGTGAGTGGTGTAAAGCGTTAATTATATCCTGCTCGAAGGACCAACAAATTAAAAGCATTGGTAAAAAAAAATTGGTAGTTTGTAATTTATTTAATTTTATTAAGCTAAAAATTTAAAGAATAGTTTTATTAGAAAAAAATCCACGCGGACCAGGCAGCGGACGGAACTCGAACCAGCACCCCAAAATTTCAACGCGGCCATCAGGGCCGTGGTAGCATAAATGATCAGTGCATTCGCCCGGATTAAGAAGTTTTTCTAGTTATATTTTATTTAATTTTTTTAAGCTAAAAATTTTAGTTTAGAAGGTAATGGTCAGTAAGGTTCCGTGGCTTTACTATGCGGGGCAGGAGATATGGTCAGGGTAGGTTATGGCGCGAGTGATATTTTTTGAATCGCAATGGTCTATTGCGGGGGTGGCAAACTAGTTGTACGCGACTATTAGTTCGATCGATCGAATATTTCGAACATACCAATTAGCCTAGCCCCAAAGTGAGCACTGTATGGCTTTTGTTATGGGATGCTAGGGTAACGGATAGAATACATATATTGTACATATATAAGTATATTTATGTAAGTAAAAATACATGTTAAACATCCATGACTGGAGTACAAATGCTCGTATTCATCACACAAACATCTGCCCCCACCGGGATTGGAACCCAGGACCTCTCTAGTCGGTGACACCATGAAACCCGGCGTACAAACTACTCGGCTACGGAGGTCGTCAAATACGAATAAGTTAAACAGACTGCGCATCGTAATCACCAACTACAGCACGCATCTTATTTATCCTCTCTTCTAAAGTGATATCTATGAAATGGCTACAAAATTTGCAGATACATTTTAAATGGACCACGTGTAATAATGATTTTGCTTGAGCCCATTCTTCCCATCAGCTAAAAGATGTCCCGTCCGGTAGGGAAAAATATTGGACGATTCAAAGGAACGTTTAATAAGTCAATTTGAATAAAGTTTAATTTACTTTCATTCATTTCATTTCAAATGTGCTTTTAGACTACAAACTTGTCTAAATCTAAAGAAAATATAACTAAAAAAAAAGAGATGGCGCTGCCTTGCAGCTTAAGAATGGCTAGAACAATTTCGACGCGGTCCGTGAGGGCCGCGGTAGCATAATTGGTCAGTGCATTCGCCGGGATTGCGAAGGGTGCGGGTTCGAGTCCCGTCTGCTGCCTGGTCCGCGTGGAATTTTTTCTAGTTATTTATATTTTCTTTAGATTTAAACATCAAGCAGTTACATGCTTTAAAAAAAATTATAACTACAAACTTATCGTCAAAATATATGTGTGAAATCGGCATAAAAAAATATTCTACTTACATACATAGATTACAATATCAGAAACAAGAATGGTATTTTATTTATAAACTAACTTCATATTACTTGGTTCACAGGCTCGCCAAGTCAAGCTTCTGATTCTCTAAGTCTAGATGAAAATCTGAGAGCAATAAGACATATACACGAAAAGTACGCCAATATTGACAAGGTAAGCAAAATGACAATTGATTTTTGAAGTGAAAACTTCTTTATCGGCGTTGTACACTTTTTTTTGTATGGGTAAAAAATGTTAAACTCACGTCATGACACGTGGGATGATTGCATCACAGGCCACGTGTCCTGATCGTAAGACGAAAACAATAAAATTGAAAAGGTTGTTGACTTTCAATATATTGGACGAAACAGTAATATTTTATTTTACCGTATTATAATAATAAGTCTCTATCTAGGACGTCCAGGTGGCAGCTTTATTGCGAAGAAAATGCCTTTTTTTATAATAGATGTCGCTAGGTGCGCTTGAATGAGAAATTCCGAGAAATAAACTTTTTAATGTAATATAAATTGTCATGTTTGTGTACGATATCGCAATAAATAAGTATTGTATTCTACCACATAAATGATAGTACTTTTATAATGATAATTAAAGAAATTCATGCAAAATTATTCCCTAACCATTCCAAAATATCAAAAATGCACAATGTTAATATTCAAGTTTTCACTTCTGCCGGCACTCCCGGAGTGCAACCCGTTTTTTTTATTGTTCAATGTGTGATATTATGTTGTTTCTAAAATCATTACTTAACTTATTATACTACTGCATTGAATAAGGTATATCTATGGAGTAGCATCATAAGTATAGTAAATATAAAGATCGGTATGTGATTTGTTTTAATAAATCGTATGTTATTCTTACACTTGCACTCGCCCGTATTTTGTTTGTATACTGTTGAGATCAGCCGTGTACCGACCCGAGAGAAAAACGTGCCGACCAATCACAAGGCCAACACGAATAGCCAAGTGAAGTGCTGGCATTATACAACATTATTGTAAATCCACTATCCATTTGTAAGGCGATCTTTGAAAACTGTGTTTTGTGCAATTTTTTTATTATAGCCTAGCCCCAAAGTAAGCACTGAAGGGCTTGTGTTATGGAATACTAGGGTAACGGATAGAATGCAAATAATTGCACTGTTTTGTGCAAATAATTTATTTTCATGAAACACATGCATTAAGAATATGCTGTATGTGTACAACAGTAATATGGTTGACTGGTAGAAAATGCCTATGGCCTTAAGTCTGCCATTATACAATTGTGCACGAAGAATAAAATAAATAATATCGTAGGCAAAAACCGGGCGAGTGCAAGTGTGAGTGTCAGATCGTTTAGCATCACGATATTACTGTTGAAATGTGACTTTATACTAATACAGGATGATTTACTATTTCATGTCTCTTGTATACAGGATGATTTGTATGAAACACATCTACTAGCGGCTAACTTCAAGAAACCTCCAAACGAAGCGCAAAGACTCAGAGATGAAGACGAGGTGCTTTCCATAAGAAGTTCAGAAGGTAAATTAATTTTAAATATTAAATGGCAAAATATATATGTATGCATGGTTGTAATAAAAAGAATTTCGATTAATTTTCGTTTCGTTTTAAAGTTATATCTACATGCATTTTAAAACCGCGTGACTTGGTGAAGAATTAAGTAGTTATTTATGTTATAAGTGCGGTAAATTGGTTATTACAAACAAGTAGACGAATTTAGGCCCGAGATGAAGTTGAGAGCTGAAAATAGTCACTAGTTTGTAAATATGTACTAATTCCGCACGAATGTCATGCTACGTTTTTCAACACATTTGCGAGAAAACAGTACCTTTACCTAATTAAAGTAATGAAGCAAACTATTTCTAATAAGCAAATGGCGCCACGTGCGGGTGGTGAAAATTAGAACTACATCTTTCGTCTCTTTTTCTTTTTGGTATTAAATTTATTAGATCTGCGACTCAGTTTTTAGTTTAAGGATTGTTAACGGTATTATTAAAGAAATAGAAGATTAGTTTTCAGTTTGAAAAAGTAAATGGGTATTTTAAGAATACAGTATTTTTATTAATCATTTATATTTTAATATTTCGAATTGACGGTTGACAGCAAAGTCCTATTCCTAGTAACTGCTCCTTAGTCAATTAATGTTTTAGGTCTCATTGGAGTAGTGGCATCTTTCATTGTAGGCACTGTGCTCATAATCGAATTTTACATCAGACTCTCCTTTTCATTCTGTATAGAGAAAGACAAGGATACACTACTGTTGTCAAATTTAATTTAAGGTTTTGATAATCATATCAGTATCGAAACCAGTACGTAATATTTTGAAACAAAAAATAACATTTACTTCGATTTTAAATTTTAGACTGTGCGTCCGTCAAAGAGTTGGAGACCAGAGTTGAAAAGTTGGAAGACAGCTCCAACTCGGACTCCGACAGCAGTAGTTCGGGATCAGGTGAGTTTGTGAGTTAAACCAACAAATTGAAAGTATGACCAGAACGATCATCCTTTTGGGAATTTTTGAGATTTTTTAAAAATATATACTTTTATAATATAATAGCCCAGCGAACTTCGTACCGCCATAAAAAATAGGGGTTGGTGGTAGAAGCGTGAAAATTTAGGGTTGTATGTATTTTGGTATGATGTATCATAAAAAAATAAAAACAAAAAATTGTCCACAAGAGTGGACCACCTTTCCACTCTTTAACATTTAGGGGGATGAAAAATAGATGTTGTCCGATTCTCCGACCTACTAAATATTTATATAAAATTTCACGAAAATCGGTCTAGCAGTTTCGGAGTAGTATAATTACGCACACCGTGACACGATAATTTTATATATGTATTAGATAATACTTTTGAGACTTGTACTGCCGCAAACCCCCATAATGCGCATTAACACTGCGTCTTTAGTCCGTATTCGGATGCACAAGAGACAATTTCGGGCACCCAAATGCAATAATTACCTACATTGTTTTTCTTACTTTCGGTTACTTGAACACGGGCATTCGACCTTGCACCCGCTTCGGACAGGAATGTATAGTGATGCCATATTAGGGGAATCCCAATCTGACTTTCCCCCAAATTTGGGAAAACATTTTTGGACGGAGGGAAAATATCTGGTACTACTGCTTGAAAGGAAAACGGGTGGTATGGCGAGTAAATAGCCATCCACTGGATGCGTGTTTGGCAATATAAGTATGTTTGGACACAAAGAAACATCAACAATGAAACAAGTGACAATTGAATAGGCGCAATGCCACCAACGACTCACCTGGATGTCTCTCTGCCACCTTATCGGGCTTGCAAGCGTGGGCACAGCCGAAGCAGCTCTTTCTTTCTTCCTCTGGGTGCGGTTGAAATCTTCTACGCGATTTCCGAGACAGTTACGCGGTGTCGATTAATATGATATGTGCATACGACCGATCTACACCGAATCCGAAACAGCAGAGAGCGGCCGTTGGAAATGACGAGCCAACGACCGTTATTAAGTTTGAGTACCCGCGCATAACAATATTCGCAGTACCCACATAACTGCCATCTGGACAGGTTCGCAGATCGAACACTAGGTGGCGTCAGCGAGCATATTGCAAATCCGAAAGCCAAATGCGAACATTGTTCATGTAAAAAAAACTCACACATAATAAAACGCCCAACCAACGGGTGACCCAAAACGAAAGCTGTTCGTATACGGGTATACTCGACACCGTTCATTTGCACTTAGTCGTTTGTCTTAATTTCATAGGCAATCGCATACGAGCTACGAACAAGAGTAATTCGCCTTTATTCTTTTTACATTCCATTATTTCCCGCTCATGAGTGTTGTTTGGAAGAAATAGTTGTTTTTTTTTTTGAAGTTATACTTTATGCGCGTTATGAAAAAATGATGAGAGTGAAATTTTAAGATGCGCGTGCATCACTGTAACACAACATTTTAACAGCATGAAGTTGGTTGGAAGCGACCAACTTCATGCTGTTACTTTCGTGTTTACCGCACATTAAGAAAATCTACCAACAAAATAGAAATAGAATCTCTATTTAGTGTCTTGGGTCGTATTGGTCCGGAAACACTGCTGGCGACAACATATTCCACAGTTTTGTCGTACGTGGTAAAAAATTTCGACAAAAACGCACGGTAGTGGATAGCCACGCATCAAGATGATGGGGATGAAAATTTTGTCGCGATGTACGATGGCGAAATGTAGCAGCTGGAATTAATCCGAACAATTCCTCAGAACACTCCCCGTGATAAATGCGTGATTAGCGATAAGACCGCCTTTTGTGCAAGTAATGTGATAGCAGGGTAAAGTGAACGAAATTGTATTTAATCCGTCAGTTAGATTATTAAAAAACATTGGACACGTATTATTTCTTTGGTCAATCAACCATAAAACAATGATAAAGCGCGTCAAAGTTTGGAAGTGGGGGCGCGTGACGTCACTTTTTAGTTAAGATTGTACCAAGATGTGACGTCAAGCGACATTTTAAAATCAATATATCTCTGTAATAAAACATTGCAGAGATTATGTGGATAAAGAAAAAATACGTGTCAAAAAATATTTGATAAGATTTATCAAAAATATGGACACTTATCTTTTCTGACCCAGCCTTTCTAGCATGACCACCGAAACAGGATATGATAAAAACGATATATCGCCATTAACTGTCAGACTACAGTGGAGTTTGACAGTAGTCTGACAGTTAATGCCGATATATCGCTTTATCATATCCCGTTTCGGTGGTCATGCTAGAGGGGCTGGCGTGAGAGTCAAAGAAAAAATGTTAGTCATATCTTTATTGCTGTACTTTGATTTGTTTTCTAGTTATTTTCTGTGCTGTGGAATAACAAACTTTTATTTTCTCTTATTCTTTCTTCTTATTAAATTAAATTCTCTCCTCTCTCTTCCACAGGCAGTTCCAGCTCGGGCTCCAGTTCTTCCTCCAGTTCGGACAGCTCTAGTTCTTCCGACAGTTCGGACAGCGAGTCGGAAGAAGAGAAACCGAAAGCAGTGGAAGAACCGCCGCCTCCGCTGAATAACGTAACAGAAGACGACCAGTGAGTATTTAACGTTCTTCTGGTTAGATACCATTATCTATCTATATAGACTATTGACTGTAAATCCTTACTAATATCATAAATAGGAAATTGTGTTTGTCTCTTACCTCTTCACCCTTAAAACGCTTAACTGATTTAGATGAAATTTGGTATGTAGATATTTTGAGTCCCGGGGAAGGGACATAGGATAGTTTTTTACCCAGAAATCATCCTTAAAGGGGGTGAAAGGGGGAGCGGAAGTTTGTATCGGAAACCAACTTTTCCACGAGTTTAAATATCTATATACATATAAATAAATAAATAAATATAAATAAATATTTCCGACACTCACACCAATTAGCCTAGCCCCAAAGTAAGCACTGTAAGGCTTGTGTTATGGGATGCTAGGGTAACGGATAGAATACATATACAGTACATATATAAGTATATTTATATAGAAATACATATTAAACATCCATGACTGGAGTACAAATGCTCGTATTCATCACACAAACATCTGCCCCCACCGGGATTCGAACCCGGGACCTCTCGAGTCGGCGACACCATGAAACCCGGCGTACAAACCACTCGACCACGGAGGTCGTCCGTATATATAATATAATAAAGATGGTAGGAAAATCAAAACTGTACATTGAATATTTCTTTAAAAGAATACTTGGGTGTGATCTACAATTGATATCGATGCCAAAAATATAGTTTTTAGAATTTTTGTCTGTTTGCCTGTGTATGTCCGGGATAAACTCAAAAAGTACTGCACGGATTTACTTCAAATTTGGCACGAAGTCGGGTCAACATATAGGCTACATATTATCACGCTATCACCTACGGGGAACGAGCAGTGAACATTTATTTTTAACTAACTCCACGCGTACGAAGTCGTGGGCAGCCGCTAGTTTTAGTTATTACAATAATCAGTTGCACTCAGGCTGATTAAAATGATCAACTTTTATCATTCAATTGTTTTTCTTCAATTTGATTGAAAGTCTGTCTATACGGTTCAAATCGCATGCGATTAAGCAGTTGATCAATGAAAAACGCCCCGTGTGAACGTAGTAATATAGAAAATTAGTTTTGGAATCATTAAACCCCATCTTGTGCCGGTAGTTCGAGAAAAAACTATCTTTTTTGCCTCCCCTATAGAGTGTATATGTTGTGGCCAAATCGTATTGTGAAATGGTCACATTTCATGATGTGGGCAACTTAATTTGACCAGATCACTAAATCGTCACCATTTAACGATTTGGTCATCGACATTTGGCCAGATCGTATAATTAGGATGTTCATAAAATATTTATTAAAAATCCAGAATATGTAAGAACTTGTATATTGTTATTTAAGTCCGAATGACACAAACAAATTTAATCAAATTTTTGAAACAAAATAAACAAATTAAAGATTTTTTTTTCAAAATTCAACATCAAACATGTCAAGAAATTCAAGTATCACCTCTTGGGCCCTGGAAGTACAATTTTACAGTGTATCTTTGTACGGCATTGATTCTCATCCGCACTTTGTACCTCAACCGCAGTTTCCAAAATGTCATATTTTGACAGCCAGTAATAGTCCATAGATTTCTTTTGCGTAGTCACCCTACTCTCCTTAATTTGTTTCATCGAAAACCCTTTTGTTATCACTTTCTTCGTCATTAAATAACGAATTATGCACTTTTTCAATGCGAGAAACAACATTGTCGGCACCGGCCGCCCAAGGCCGGATCCAGAGGGGGGGTCATGGGGGTCATGACCCCCCCTCTGGATCCGGCCTTGGGCGTACCCACTTCACAATCTGTACTTCACAATCTGTACCCACTGTGACTTGACCACGACTATATGACCCCCCCCCTGGCGCCAAAGCTGGATCCGCCCTTGGCCGCCATATAAATATATAAACAAAGCGCTTGCAGCGCCTCTACCGGTAATTAATGTAACTACTTTACAATATGATCAAATAATTTTTGCCATTTCATGAAGTAGCCGCACGTTTAGTTGGCTATATCGTGAAACGATTTCTCATCATTGATCTGCCCAAACCACATCATGATGTGGCCAATAGGCAGTAAAACATTTCATGAAATGCGACCATTTCATGAAATTCTCGAGCATTTCATGAAGTGAGCAAATCTACGATATGGCCCCGACATATACACCGGGTTTTAAGATATCGCCTACTCTTGAGATCTTGAGTAGTGAACCTTTATTTCTAACTATCTCCGCGCGAACGCAGTCGCGGGCGGCCGCTAGTAAATAGAAAATATTGGCGCGTCTATAATCCAATTATTAATTTATTCAATCAAGGTCATTTGGCGCCTGGTCGTACAGCAACCACCAATCCGACTCGGAAACGGATTCCGACCCGGAGAAACAGACTAACACTACCGGAACCGGAAGTGAGATACCTATACCGCCCCGTACCGAGTTGGATGAGATCAGCGAGTCCGAAAACGAGTCTGCCGACAAGAGCTTCCAATGCCACATATGCCACAAATGGTATTCCACAAGGATCACGCTCAAGTAAGTCTTACTTTTATTATTAGAAAAAGAAAGAAAGAAAGAAAAAAACATTTTTAGTTGAGACAAAACAATCATTAAAAGAATAAATAGCCCCTGTGCCCGTAGCATGAGCACTACAATTTATAAATATATCACGTTTTTTTATCGCGTCTGACTATCAAACTATAATGATAACAAGATTATTATTAATAATAATAATCATTTATTCATAACCCTTAACATTTTACATTTAAAGTATTAAGCTACTAAAGTCTACGGGTATTTATATAAAAGTCTGAAGAAATGGACCCCTAACCCAGAAACTAGTAAAAACTGTAATTATCAGGGTTAGTGATTCCTTGGTCGACATATTTCAAAAATATTTTAATTTGGAGGTGAGTAATCAACAAACGAAACAAAACAATTTATCAAATATTGATTAAGTGTGAGCGTACAAGTATGAGTGAAATTATATTGGTGGTGTGTTTGTGTATGTGTGTGTGTGTGTGTGTTTATGTGTGTAATTGTCTTATATTATCCATAACTGTTTCTTATTATTAACTCCATAGTAATAGGGTGTTTGACAGTATTAAAAATAAAGTGCCAATTGTTAGAATCTGTATTTAGAATGAATATTGGCAGGAGTTTTGACTATTTATGCAGAAAAAATATTAATAATTTTACTAAAAGCCTACGATAAAGATAATAGTTTTCTTGTCTTTTGTCACGTGACCCAAAACGTTTGGGATTGGTAGAGCCTAAAATGAAGTCGCACGCAAGTAAACTTCCGGTTACAGTGACTTTAGATTGTATGGTTTGACGTTTTAATGACAGTCGTGTGACGTCACACACCAGTGAGACGCCATATTGTCCAGAGATACGTTTTTCGCGGCAACTTGAAAGTAGAGTTTTTGATTTAGATTTTTTACTGAAATACACAACATAAATGATGAATATCCACTTTTTATGGACTCTATAAACATTGGTAAATAACGTGAGATCGTTTTCTAAAACTTGTCAAATACCCTATTAAGCGTGATAAAAACGTGTTATACAGGTTGGTCCAATTAGTGACGTCAACATTTTTTTTAGATCCGTCATACCTGGGGGTATCCGAAAATACCTGATGTATGTTCCGCGTTTTTTCTTAGTTTTCGATTTATATTTTTTTGTGTATTTTTAATGATTTCTGCCAGCGATGTTTCAAAAAATCTGTTCTGTTTTCGTAGTAGGTTTTTTTGTAGTCTTTTTTTGTGATGAAGTTGTCTCGAACGTTGTTTTAATAAAAAAACTGCTTCCTGAAATTACTTAAAGTTACTCAAAAAAGGCTTGAAAGTTGGAACTTTAGCTTTAAGTAGGATTTACTCAAACATTCAACTTCAATTTAAAAATACTAAAAGGAGTTTCCATAGCTTCTTACTAAGTTTAAAAGCTCCGCATGTTTCTAAACTACCAAAAATCATTAAAAAAAAATGTACTTAATCAGCCTATTTTTTTTGTGATTGGCCTTCGAAGGCGGATAGGCTAAAAATCATTGAACACGATTAAAGCGTATATCTTATCGCGGTGGTCATGCTAGGGGGGCAGGTATGTGTAAATGGCAGATTTCTGCCTCTGTCTGGAGACGGCAGATTTCTGCCACTAGTTAAGAAAATTAATTTCATTTTTCATATTTTATCATTATTTAGTAATCGTTTTTAATTAACACATTTTTAACATATAGATATATAGATTATTTATATTATATAGATTTAACGACTTCCGTGGCCGAGTGGTTTGTACGCCGGGTATCATGGTGTCGCCGACTCGAGAGGTCCCGGGTTCGAATCCCGGTGGGGGCAAATGTTTGTGTGATGAATACGAGCATTTGTACTCCAGTAATCGATGTTTAATATGTATTTCTATATAAATATACTTATATATGTACAGTATATGTATTCTATCCGTTACCCTGGTATCCCATAACACAAGCTTTTATAGTGCTTACTTTGGGGCTAGGCTAATTGGTGTGTGTGTTGGAAATATTATTATTATTATTATTATTATAGATAAGTTTGTAGAGAAACTGTTTAGGATTGATTTAAGAAAAAATGAAGCTTAGATTTACAGTAGAACTTGAACAAAAAGAGAAAAATCGGCCGGAAAATAAAAAAAAATAATCCGGCCGTGAAATACAAAATGGGGGCTAACGTCACACACACGTCTACAATTTTTTGTCTCAAATCGGTCCCAACTCAGCATGATGCTGATGTTACCATCAGCGCCAAACTTTAATTTAAAAAATAAAAAAAATATTTCTTTTCCATCACAGCAGAGATCCTCCATACTTTGTATTGTTTTGCAATTACAATGTTGTGGCTCGGGTATTTGTGATGAACTGGTGCGTGTAATAAGTTTCAGCAATAGAAACCTGTGCTACTGGTCACCAGACCCAATCACAGATAGCATCACTTCCATTACATTTACTACTTGATTGACTTGTTAGTTACATCATTGAAAGTCCCAAGCGGCCATTTTTCCTGGATAAACGGTATCCGCTGTAAAGAAGTCACTCATTTCTTTGTCGTACTATTCGTAAGTGGAATTCTTTATCCGCGCACGTGTTCCCTCCTTCCTACTATCTGGGGTCCTTTAAGAGAGGCGTGAAGAAGCATTTCTGCAGGCCGGCAAGGTGAGGATGGTTGGTGTAGCAGTTTATAACTGCTGTACCAGCTATCTTCGCGTTTGGACTTTATCACCACTTAACATCAGGGGGCCATTCGCCTAACGGAATTGCTTTGGAAAACGCTAACGCTTTCGATGTTATTTTGTTATTTCTGACCGCCGAATGTTTTCAAATACCTCACGCTAATATTTTTTAGTATTGTTATTACCAATGCAAAAGAAAAAAAAAATAGAGCGCGAGGCATTTGAAACCCTCAGGCGGCTAGAAATAACAAAATGAAATCGTAAGCGTTAGCGATTTCCAAAGCATTTCCGTTGGGCGAATGGCCCCCAGGTGATTTAGAGTCATTTGCTATAAGCTATAAAAAAAAGAAGTTTTTTACTAGAAAAATTCCACATGGACCAGGCAGTAGACAGTTATTTATATCTTCGTTTTTCCATCAGAATCCATCGGCGAGTACATCAGAACAGGGGCACCGGTAATTCAAGATCACGAACCCGTTCGTCCGACAGATATGAGTGCGACTGCTGCAACGAAACCTTCAGTCGACGCGAGAAACTATGGGAACATAAGTGAGTATACTTAGTAAACAGATTTCTAGTTGAAGAGCTGGCGAACAAAACGGTATAATTACATAAAATAAAATTTTACAGGAGGAGAATTTTTATTTTTGAGGAGCTCGATGGCGCAAGTGGTTAGCGCGTTCGGCTGCGATCGTTGAACTTAAGCAACTTTCGCAGTGGTCGGTCATTGGATGGGTGACCAAAAATTACTATCTCGAGCTCCTCCGTGCTTCGGAAGGCACGTTAAGCCGTTGGTCCCGGCTGCATCTGCAGTCGTTAGCACCCGCCAATCCGCACTGGGCCCGCGTGGTGGGTCATGGCACAATCTCCCTACCATCCATAGGGAAGGCCTGTGCCCCAGCAGTGGGGACATTAATAGGCTGATGATGATGATGATGAAAATTTTACAGGAGCCATAAACTGTATGTTAGGAACAAAAGGGAGGTGCGAGTAAAAACGCGATTGCGTGTCGACCCATCGGTCAGTCCGTCTTGAGTTAGCGAATGAATTGGTCCAGTGATAAAGTGCACAGTTTGTCCGTCCCAGCCACGTGGGCAATATAATATTATAATAGCATCGGGTGTTCCTTAGTAGCCTATTAGGGCCCCCTGTGTCGTATGTGGTTTTTGAGTCGTAGTGAGTTTAAGTGTTCCCAAAACCCTGGATATTTCAAACACATTCGCTTGGCTTTGGCCGGCGGGTTCTGCATTAGGAGGAGCGCTCCTCCCGTCGCCGTTGTACTGAAGCCGCTGATGGGACACTAGTCTGTAAGTCCTTAGACTTTATATTTGGTTAGGGTTAGGCATATTTAACGTGCCTTCCAACGAGCCGTGTATCGCGGAGCTAAGTACGCCCCGGCGTTTTGGTTTGAAGTTAGGGCAACGTGGTTTCTGCCCTACAGACGACCGGCTGCGTACTGAACACCGTCTGACATACCTACAGTGAGCTTTTGCTGTGGTTTTTATTTATAAATTTAGTAATTTAAACACTGTTTAAGGCGGTTTTGATTGAAAATGAGTTGAAATTCATATTCAGCGGGCCAAAAACCTCCGGACTATATAATTATACCGTTTTGTTCGCCAGCTCTTTAGTTATAATTCACTCAGACGATAGAGTGTGACTGCTGCAACGAATTTTTGGCCAATCTAACATTTAATGTAGTGAAACTACTTTACGCACGCTTTACTTAGACTTGGGGGGCAAGCTGGCGAATGCGTTACGCGTTACGAAAAGTGTGTTCGGGCGAGGCGAACGGGAGTTGAGTGGGGGATATAAGCAAGAGAAAGCAGTGCGCGCTAACATTTTCTTTCTCATTTGCTCTTGTAACTAGTAAATTAAATATGTATATATTGTACACACACACACACACACACATATATATACATACAGATAGAGCTAAAGAAGTTTCACTTCAGTCGTGTGGCACATCGTTTTTTTTTTGTTAGGGACCGTCAAAACTTAATATCTTAGGTGGACCGATAGATGTGTCCGGGAGTGTATACCAATGCACATCCACTCAATTTCAATCCATTGAAATTTCCCTTTTTCTCACTTACAGGGCTGAAGCTCACCGCGGCTCGATGATGGTGCGGTGTGAAGTGTGCCGCAAGTGTTTCGAGGACGACGCGGAGCTTGCGGCGCACGACCGCACCCACACGCCGGACGAGCGGGCGTGTGAGTAACCTACCCTATACTATACTACTAGTATGCTCAATATTCAAACTGGCGTCTGTTTCTTTTTTAAAGATAGAATAATTGTTACCTTTAATAAATCTCTTATCTATTAGACAAGTCCGTCCGTCCGTCCGTCCGTGGTGCTGTTTCAGCGGCCAAACCGTAAGAGATAGTATTAAGTTTTATATTTGATGGGCAATTCACATAAACAAAGTTGGAAATATAATTAAATATAATAGTTTTATTTGGTATTTACATAAAAGACACACAAGACCTAAATATATTTTTACAAGACAGCTGACAATGTCAACTACTCTCTTTTATAGACATAGAGATCTATGAAGAGTGTAAAGACTCTTTATTACTCGTGGTATAATAAAGGCTGTCCTCTTAACATCCCCAGGACTTTTAGGGACTGATACAGTTCAAACCTTGGAGTCCAATTCTTTTACTTAGATCTCGCAGTCTTGGTCCAAAGAGAGGTTTTGTGAACATATCGGCGAGTTGCTTTTCCGAGGAAACTTGTTTCACAGATAGTTCACCCTTGGTGACACATTCTCTTATGAAAAAATGCTTAAGCTTTATATGTTTTGTTCTTTTATGATATTCGCAGGGAGGATTTTCTGATAATTTTATCGCAGATTCATTATCTACATATATGATAGGCTTTTCGACTTCTGTCAGTTCTTCTAAGAGTCTCCCGGGCAGTTTCGGAGAGCGCTATAAGCTCAGCTTCTGTAGAAGATATGGCTACAGAAGATTGTTTCTGACTCTTCCAGAAAATTGGTCCAGAAAAACAAGAACACCATGCCTGTAGTAGAGTGTCCAGTAACAGAGTCTCCACCGTGATCTGCATCGCTGTAGCAGATTAGCTTTCTGACTTTTTCATTTCTAAAGATTAGTCCGGTGTCCATAGTTCCCTTCAAATATCTTAGAATTCTTTTTACTTTTAAAATATCCATCTGCGTTGGATTTTCAAGATGTCTTGAAGCCATACTCACTGCATAGTTGATGTCAGGTCTTGTGGCGACCATTAGATATGCCAGCGCACCTACCGCTTGGCGATAAGGAAAGTTTATGTTGGTTCCTTTGTCATCATCCTCCTTCAAGGTTTTTACAGCAGGAGATGGAACGCTTTTGCAGTCAATCATGCCAAATCTTTCTAATATTTTCTTGGTGTAAGACCTTTGGTGTACAGTTATATCACCATCTTTAGATTTACCAATTTCGAGACCAAGAAAATAGCTGGCTGGTTTTGTTGTGATTTTGAACCGCTGCTTTAATTCCTTTATGAAATTAACGCCTGCTGCTTCACTACTTGACGCTACTAATCCATCGTCAACGTAGAGTGCAATTAGTATTTGGTTTCGTATATAAAGGCAAGGGTCATTAGTGCATTGTTTAAATCCAGATTCCACCAGATACTGCGATATACAGGTGTTCCAGCACAAAGGCGCTTGTTTTAGGCCATAAAGACTTCTTTTCAGCTTGCATACTCTCTCTGTGCAATCATTGAAGCCTTCAGGTTGGTTCATGTAGATTTCCTCTTCTAAGTATTCATTTCATTTAGCGAGTTCATTTCACTCTGCATGGCTTGTTTCCAACTGCTATATTCTTTGCTTTTCATAGCGTCTCTGAATGTCTGAGGTTCTTCCATAGCATCCTCATTTATAGCAGTTAAAACATAGTCCTCAAATCTTTTTGGTGGGACAATACGCGACCTGTCACGAAGATTTCTTCCATCCGATTCAACGTTAGTCGCCTCATTTAAAGAATCATTTCGTATATCTTCTATATTCTCATTTGTTTGAGTTTCCATTTGTGACTCTGTGTATTCATCATTTTCAATTTCTTCAGGACAGAGTATACCGGAACTATCAATCGTCTCATTTTGGACAGGTTGTTCATCATTAGTATTTCTAGGTTCGCTGTAAATTTTTACTTCTTCCTTGAGTGTCCCATCAATTTCGGGGAAAGGATTACTTCTGCAAGATCCTTTGTCATCGTCATAGAACATTTTTCTTAAAACCCGTACATCTCTGGAAATTAAAATTCTTCTTTTGGATGGTACATAAATTCTAAAAGCTTTGGATACTTCTGAATATCCCACGAACATTCCAGGGATGGCTTTTGAAGCAAATTTTTGACGACCATTTTCTTTTATTAAGATGAAGCTTTTTTCACCAAATATATGTAAATGGTTTATGCAGGGTTTCCTTCCTACCCACAATTCAAATGGTGTTACTTGTCCAATACTTTGATTAATACTCCTGTTTGATAAGTAATTGGCTGTGTGAACAGCTTCTGCCCACAGATGTAATGGTGCTTTCGACTCTAACATCATACATCTTGCCTTTTCAATCAAGGTTCTATTTTTTCTTTCGGCAATGCCGTTTTGATGAGGGGTGTATGGTGCTGTCAATCTTCTTGATATACCATTCTCTTTCAGGAATATGTTAAAGTCTCGGTTACAATATTCTGTGCCGTTGTCACTTTGTAGGAATTTTATTTTATTTCCAGTAAAGTTTTCAACAATTTTCTTATATTCCTTAAACTTTTCAAGTACTTCATTTTTGTGTTGTATAAAATATATATAACAGTATCTTGAAAAATCATCAATGAATGTAACCATGTATTTATTTCCATTTAATGAAGCGGTTTTCATGGGTCCACATACATCGCTGTGTACAATTTCGAGTCGCTGATTGGTACGGGTAATTGTGCTAGACTTGCTAGGTATTCTACTTATTTTTCCTTGAATACAAATTTCACAATCGTCCAATTTGTTTTTATGGTCAAAATTTAACCCAATCAGTAAATTATTACTCAAAGCATGCTTCATGTTTTTCTCTGACATATGTCCTAATTTTCTATGCCATAATTGTATATCATCAGATTTGTTTTCTTTTGTCTGAGTAACATTAGCTTTTTCCCGACGATCAGTATTATTATTTTTGGTACGTAGATAATATAAGCCATCGTTAGATCTTTTAACGTTTATTTCAACATTGCGCTTTTTATCCTTTATGATTGCTCGTTCTTTAGTAAATGTTACAGTATGTCCAGCGTCAGTTAGCTTTCCGACTGATAGAAGGTTAGTACATAGACTCGGTACATAAAGAGCATTTGCTATGCCTATTAGTCCTTGCCTAGTCTCTATTTGGGCCGGACCTGATCCTTTGATTTCAGCCGTGTGCTCTTTTGATGCTAATTTTAATGTTTGGTTCACATTTCTCATATTTGTAAATGGTTTATCTGAAAATGTCATGTGAGACGTGCATCCGCTATCCAATATCCAACCGTTTTTCATTTCTTGTTGATATAAAGAAAAACATGTAAAGTTATTCTTTTCCTTTTGATTTAAACTATTTTGTCTATAGTTTAAATTTTTCTTGTTCTTTTTGTTTTTATTTTTATACCAACATTTTTCTTGTTCATGTCCCTTTTTCTTACATATTTTGCAGAATGCATAAAATGTTTCTTCGACATTACTTGAACTTGTATTAGGTTGGATGTTTCTATTGCGAGCATCACTTTCTTCAATTATTTTAATTTTTAACTTTTCTGGACTTATTAGTGAGTCTTGCGATTCTATTGCAATTCTAAAATTCTCATAATCGTTTGAGAGGCTATATAGCATCATTATGGACAATAAGTCACTATTAATTTCTATATCTAAGTCTTTTAGTTTGTCTACCGTATCCATGAAGTCCTTCAAGTGTTCCCGAACATCTGCATCAATGCCTAGTCTAATCAATATCAATTTCTTTAATAGAGTTGCTTTTCTGGCAGGCCCTTGACTAGCATATACACCTTTGAGTTTTTCCCAAACGTCTTTTGCGTGGAGACAGTTCTTTACTTCTTTTAATTCAGTTGATGAGATCAGTAACAGTAACTCGGCTTTCGCAAGTTCATCATTTTCTTTTTCAGTATCTGAATTCTCATCAGGATACTTTGTTACATATTTCCATAATTTGTTTTTTATTAAATATGCTTTTGCATGAATTACCCATGTGTCATAATTTTCTTTTCCAAGTGGAGAAATATTTACGATCGACATTTTCTTTCCTGTAAACGCTCTGCTACCATATTAAGTTTTATATTTGATGGGCAATTAACATAAACAAAGTTGGAAATATAATTAAATATAATAGTTTTATTTGGTATTTACATAAAAGACACACAAGACCTAAATATATTTTTACAAGACAGCTGACAATGTCAACTACTCTCTTTTATAGACATAGAGATCTATGAAGAGTGTAAAGACTCTTTATTACTCGTGGTATAATAAAGGCTGTCCTCTTAACAGATAGATAAAGAGAATGTTTAAGTTATAAGTTGAGAATAGTCTGATAAGACTACAAACCGGATGTGAGTAACGTAGCACTTCCGGTTTTCGAGAAATCACGTGATTTCTATTTCAAACGAAACCACACAAAATCTCCGAAGTTCTCAATTAATTAAATACATTTTTTTTTTGGTGAACATTTGGTTCACTGGTTTGCTAGTTATGTTATAATATGAGTAAGCATTATATAGTAGGATGAAAGATTGTTAGATAGTTATAGTTATATAAGCATGTTTAATGTGTGGAGGTTTTTCATTAGCTTTTAGATACAGTTTTTTTTTTATTTATTTTTTTTTAACACACAACAATTAGCCTAGCCCCAAAGTAAGCACTATAAGGCTTGTGTTATGGGATACTAGGGTAACGGATAGAATACATATACTTTACATATATAAGTATATTTATATAGAAATATATATTAAACGTACATGACTGGAGTACAAATGCTCGTGTTCATCACACAAACATCTGCCCGCACCGGAATTCGGACCTCTCGAGTTGGCGACGCCATGAAACCCGACGTACAAACCACTCGGCCACGGATGTCGTCAATTTATAATAAGTGATCGACAGCTGTAAACCTTCCTAAAATAAAACAAATAAATAAATACGAAAGTGCTGTTGACATGTATAACTAATCTCTTCCCTTTTTCCACCACAGGTCGTTGCACCGAATGCGGCGCCTCCTTCGCCCGCTACGACCAACTGCGGCGTCACCGCGCGTGCGTCCACAACGCGGGCCCCACCGCCAACAGTGCGGCGGGCAACAGCGGCAGGTTGCCGCACGCGTGCGCGCAGTGCGGCAAGCGGTTCGGGCACGCGCACTCGCTCACGCGGCACCTGCACAACCACGCCAAGCAGCTGTACCGCTGCGTCGTGTGTAAGGTGAGTGCGATGCGATTCCGATCAGACCCCGATACGATTTTGAGAAAATCTGTTCGATCGCTTCATTCTAGATTATATAGACCACCCAACTACGACACGATTCCCATCCGACTACGATGCGATTCCGATCCGACTTAAATCCGACCACGACACGATTTAATAACTATTGGGATCGCTTTCTACTATGTTTCTAGAAAATCGGTTAGGTCACTTCCCGCTTCGTTTCTAGACCAAACTTCGGTACGACTCCGATCCGATCACGACCCGACTCCGATACGATTTTGAGAAAATTGGTTTGGGTCATCTATATGTACCGCTGCGTAAATAGTAGTAGTGAGTAGTGGCAGTGAGTTGTTGGGTATATACGACTCCGTCATCGTTATCGATAGCGATATCTGTTTTAAAGCAACAGCGGTAAGCGGTTCAGGCACGCGCACTCGCTCACGCGGCACCTGCATAACCACGCCAAGCAGCTGTACCGCTGCGTCGTGTGTAAGGTGGGTGCGATGCGATTCCGATCAGACCCCGATACGATTTGGAGAAAATCTGTAAGATCGATCGCTTTTGGCTTCATTCTATAGATCACCCAACTATGATACGATTCCGATCCGACTTTAATCGTACCACGACACGATCAGACTGATACGATTTTGAGAAAATCTCTTCGATCGCTTTTGGCTTCATTCTAGGTCATATAGACCACCCAACTACGATACGATTCCGATCCGACTTAAATCCGACCACGACACCATTTTAAAACTATTGGGATTGCTTTCTACTATGTTTCTAGATGATTACGATACGTTTTTAGAAAATCTGTTTAGAAGATTCGATCTCAATCCGACTATGATGCGATTTTGAGAAAATTGGTTGGATCACTTTTGGCTTCACTCTAGGTCATATAGACTACCCGACTGCAATACGATTTCGATCCGACCACGATACGATTTTGTGAAAATTGGTAAGATCGCTTCCCGCTTCGTTTCCAGACCATCCGTCTACGATTCGAAAGTGAGACAATTGGTTTTAGCTATCTATATTAATCGCTCCGTAAATAGAAGTAAGTGGTGGTAGCTAGTATTACGACACGACCAGTAGTGGCAGTGAGTAGGAAGGTGGATATATACGACTAGTGTTGCCAGGAGTCCCGATTTGTAACTGATCGGGACGCTAATAAATGTCCCGATTAATCAAAAAATTTAAGTTAGGTAATTAATATAATACTATACTTGCACTAGTAGTTTAAATCGGAATAAATTAAGCCCAGACTTAAAAACCCCTTGTTTTTTGTTTACTGTCCCGATCTGCAACCCTAAGTCCCGATTTTTTTGACTTCATGTACCGACTTAAAACAAATCGGACCTGACAACACTATATACGACCGTCCAACATTATAAACGATAGCGATAGTCATTAGACCGCTTCCCGCTCGATTTTGAGAAAATTAGTTGGGGTCATCTAAGAGTAGTGGTAGATAGGCAGAGATGTACAAAATGGTTTTAAAAAAGCATTTAAATACAAAATGCAAAATACTAAATAGTTTTGCGTTTTGTATTTCAAATGCTAAATGCAAAATAGGTATTTTCAAAATACTTTTTCAAAATAAAATACCCCCTGACCAAATCACAGATATTTTTATTTATTATAGGTACTTACATATTTACTTATCATACATGAGCAATAGAGACACACAATGCCGAGCCGAAAAACAAACGTCTTACATATTACATATGATTACACTTTTCTTATTTAAACTAATAACAACTGGAACTGGACTGGTATTGTTAAAAAGTGATAAAAATAAATATCATTGTTTATTTATTACGCTTTTTAACAATACCAGTTGTTCGAATACATCATCACTCATTTTTCTTCTGTGAGGTCTCATTATCATCCCACCATACGAAAAAAGTCTTTCTACTGGTGCTGAACTTGGTAAAGATGTGTGATGTGGAACCTATCTAAGATAGGTGATATATCGCCACGGCCAGTAGTGGCAGTGAGTAGGTAGTTTACATAGGACCGCCCGTCATCTTACGCGATAGCGATAGTCATAGCAATCCCGTTATGCAATTAGCCCCCTGTTATATAGCAACAGCGGCAAGCGATACGATTTTGAGAAAATTGGTTGGGGCCATCTATAGAGGGTTAATTTTAAAACACCAACAACCTCTTAGGGGGTGATTCTACCTATCAACTTAATTAAAATCAAAACTTTTATTACGGGACCAACGCTGACATCGCGAAATAAAAATCTGCAGTTTCATACAAAAGTGCATCAGCTAATCAACCGAAATGTATTGAAACAGCTGATTTTTTGCGTACCGTATCTTCCCTTTTTATTTTTATCTAAGTTATGAACCTTATTCTCTCGTCTTTACAGGCGTCTTTCGCCCGCGCCGACCAGCTGGCACAGCACCTCAACAGCCACCTAGCGACCTACAAACGATTGAAGCCCTAACGAGAAACGGGACGAGTGCAAGAAAAATCAAAATCAATTCACACTGACACACATACACAATTATTGATTTATTATTATATTATATTAATATAGAGTTTTATTTAAAAAAAAGATGTCTCTCCGTCTTTTATTCTCCTTGGAGTCCCATAAATTTAAATTTATTTAATAGGGTATTTGACAAGTTTTAGAAAACGATTTCACGTTATTGACTTATGTTTATGGAGTCCGTAAAAAATGGATATTCATCATTCTTTTGTGTATTTCAATAAAAATAACCAAATCAAAAACTTCATTTTCAAGTTGCCGCGAAAACGTTTTTCTGGACAATATGGCGTCTTACTAGTGTGTGACGTCACACGACTGTTATTAAAACGTCAAACGACACAATGTAATGTCACTTTAACCGGAAGTTTACTTGCGTGTGACGTCATTTTTCGCGTTTTGGGTCACGTGACAATAGATAAAAATATTATCGTTTTCGTGGGTTTTTAGTAAGATTATGAATATTTTTTTGTTAAAAATAGTAAAAACCCCTGCCAATATTCATTCTAAACACAGATGCTAACAATTGGCACTTTATTTTTAATACTCTCAAATACCCTATTTAGTTATGTTTTTATTTTTTAATGCATTTAACTGATGGATGAATAAATAAAAAAAAATACTAGAAATAAATTATTTTCATATTTAAACATCCAGCATTTAAAATGCATAAAAAATAAAAATATTGCTATTTCTTCTTTCACATGTTTAAAACGAGTAAAGGTTTGACATTGTGGGTTACCTGCAATGCGAAGAGACAGCGCTGCCTTGCAGCCTAAGAAATACTAGAAAGAATTCGACACGGCCGTTAGGGCCGCGGTGGCATAATGGTCAGTGCCTCCGCCTGGATAGCGGCGGGTGCGGGTTCGAGTTCCTTCTGCTGCCTGGTCCACATGGAATTTTTCGTAGTAAATGCTCCGCCCCGTCCTGCAAGGTGAGGATGGTTGGTGTGGCAGTTTGTAACTGCTGCACCAGCTGTCTTGACGTTTGGACTTTATTTTCACTTAATATCACGTGGGGACGAGTCTTGCCTACCTAGCTATATGTATAAAAAACCGGCCAAGTGCGAGAAGGACTCGCGCACCGAGGGTTCCGTACAAACCTTCGATGTTTTTTTATTATTTTTATATTCGAGTTGAATGAATGATAGGTTGAATGTATTGCGGTGTACGATTTATGACGTATTAAAAAAAACTACGCATTAGGTCTAGTTCGAACCACTTTTCGGTGGAAGTTTGCATGGTAAAGTACATCATTATATTTGTTTTAGTTTTATCATTCTCTTATTTTAGAAGTTACGGGGGGGGGGGGGGGGGGCGACACTGCATTCGCCCGGATTGTGAAGGGTCCGCTGCCTGGTCCGCGTGGATTTTTTTCTTGTAAAGCTTTTCTTTACATTTAAAAACATCTAGCAGTTAAGTTATAATTGCTATTATTTTCTTCTTTCAAATGTTTAATACTTGAAAAAGTATTCATTTGACATTGTGGGTTACCTACAATGCGAAGAGGTGGCGCTGCCTTGCAGCTTAAGGCTAGGAAAATTTCGACGCGGCCATCAGGGCCGTGGTAGCATAATTGGTCAGTGCATTTGCCCGGATTGCGGAGGGTGCGGGTTCGAGTCCCGTCCGCTGCCTGACCCGCGTGGATTTTTTTCTAGTTAAACTTTTCTTTAGATTTAAAAGCATTTAAGCTTAAAAAAAACGTAATAATATTTATTTATTTATTAATAAATAGATTGAATGAATATTATCTACTAAAATAATTTCTTAAATATATTTATTTAGGATTCATGCTATAATTCATGGAGTTCGTCTAAAATCAACAGTCGCCTTGGCGTCTATTTCAACATTCGTATAACCTTTTAAACAATCTTCGTATTTGTTTTTCAGTCTTTCACTTTCCTCCGATATATCATCATTCAACTTCATTTCTCTATTTTGCTTCAAGTAAAGTAAAAAAAGAATAAACTTATACCACTGTCTTACAGTGGTGCCCAAAGGTGCCCAAGTGGTATTGCTCCAAGGGCTATTTTGAAAATCCTGATACGCTACGCGGGCACCCTTAGTAAAAAACATAAGTGATTTAAACGAAACTACATTATAACGACTTAATACCATGCAGCGTAATTTACTTATTGTTTATTTAATATATTTCAACAAAATTGTTCGTTGGCGCCTAGAATACAGGCCGCGGGCTACCAGGTGCCCGCGAACTACCGGTTTTTTTTAAACATTTATTTATTACATTATAAGTTGACTAATATAACATAATTATGATGCGGAGGATTCGATAGTTGGTATAGTAGCCCCATCAGAATCCGAGGCCGCGTCGAGATGCAGCCAGGGAGGTCGAATGGGTGGGAAAGACAGGGAGAGGAGAGGCGGTTTAATAATAGCGAAAAGGAAGAGGAGAGGAAAGGAAACGAAACAGAAAATAAATAAATGGTTTAAAGGATGGGAGTAAGAGTGTAAGGGAATACACCACTGGTCTAAGAGGTCACAGGAAAATTGTAAACGATCAACGTTTCTCAAAGACGCAACCACTGAGAGCCAGCAGACCGACTTGTTCTAGCGCCGGAGATGTCATACATGAATCATCTCTGAAGTCATTTTTCAACTTTACGACTCTGTAAATGATAAAACAAGAAGAAAAAAACAGCCCTTGCTGAGTTTCTTGCCGGTTCTTCTCAGTAGGTACAAGGTCTCCCGCCGTAGATTTACGAACCGATGGCGTAGCTTCTAGACATTCATATGTGCTTGTAACAGCCTATAGCGATAGTCATAGCAATCCCGTTAGGCAATTAGCCCCCTGTTATATAGCAACAGCGGCAAGCGATACGATTTTGAGAAAATTGGTTGGGGCCATCTATAGAGGGTTAATTTTAAAACACCAACAACCTCTTAGGGGGTGATTCTACCCATCAACATTATTAAAATCAAAACTTTTATTACGGGACCAACGCTGACATCGCGAAATAAAAATCTGCAGTTTCATACAAAAGTGCATCAGCTAATCGACCGAAATGTATTGAAACAGCTGATTTTTTGCGTACCGTATCTTCCCTTTTTATTTTTATCTAAGTTTTGAACCTTATTCTCTCGTCTTTACAGGCGCCTCCCGCCGTAGATTTACGAACCGATGGCGTAGCTTCTAGACATTCATATGTGCTTGTAACAGCCTAAACTGAATAAATGATTTTGATTATTATTATTGAAATAAGTCTATTCGTATCCATGATCGTTTACAGTTTTCCTGTCGCCTCTTACATTTATTAGTAATGATGTACTTTTTAGCGAGTGTGCTACAGCTGGCATATATAAAAGTAGAAAAAGACTATTGACTTTACCCAGAACGATATTATAACACTAGTGCAGATTTTAAACAGTATGTACAGAGTTACTCAAAATTATTTAAAAAAGTCTGTAGAATAGCCAAGTTTAAATATCTGACTTTAAAAATCAAAAATAGTAATGACAAACGAGCTCCGCTCAGCGCAAAAACCACTGTTTAATTGTAAGCTGAGTTAAGATTTTGTATTGGTGAATAAATATATTTTTGATTTTGACAAAATAAAAATGACCTGGAATATTATAAATATACTAGCTGACCCAGCGAACTTCGTACCGCCCTAAAAAAATAGGGGTTGTCCAGCGGACAAAATTGTGAATCTAAACCATTCTCAGATCCCCTTGAACACACACAAAAAATTTCATCAAAATCGGTCCAGTCGTTTAAGAGAAGTTCAGGGACATACACACTCACAGAAGAATTATATATATAAAGATTTTTATTTCAACACACACCAATTAGCCTAGCCCCAAAGTAAGCACTGTAAGGCTTGTATTATGGGATACTAGGGTAACGGATAGAATACATAATTATGCAGTACATAAGTAATATAAGTTTATTTATATAGAAATACATATTAAACATCCATGATTGGAGTACAAATACTCATATTCATCACACAAACATTGCCCTCACCGGGATTCAAAACCGGGACCTCTCGAGTCGGCGACACCATGAAACCCGGAGTACAAACCACTCGACCGTTCTCGAGGTTGTCAAATCTTTCCACATTTTCCCACACTTTTTTATCCTAGTAGGTAAGTACTTTTATCAATTCTTTTATAATTTCATTTAACTAGCGGCCGCCCGCGACTTCGTACGCATGGAGTTAGTTGGAAATAAAGGTTCACTGCTCGTTCCCCGTAGGTGATAGCGTGTAATTATGTAGCATTGACCCGACTTCTTAATAAAATTCGTGCCACATTTCAAGTAAATCCATGCAGTACTTTTTGAGTTTATCCCGGATATACTTACGTACAAACAAACAGACAAAAATTCTAAAAACTATATTTTTGGCTTCGGTATCGATTGTAGATCACATCCCAAGTATTCTTTTAAAAAAATATTCAATGTACAGTTTTGACTTTCCTACCATTTTATTATATACTAGTGGCCCGCCCTCGCTTCGCTTCGGTGTAGAGCTGAAGTGTAGACTATAGTTATTGTTCTCAGGCCTGTATTATACACAATGACATTCTTCTTATACCTACCGCCGCGCCGCCGCGACCCGTGTCGAGCGCGGCAACCGTTACACAAAAATAATCCTTATAGCATGATTCAGTATTCACGTGCGACGGCGCGATGGCTTATTTCATGTATAAGTTTGGTGTTTCTGTACCGATTTCTATGATTCTTTTTTTATTGAATAGGTAATAATTTTAACTTTTTTAAATTAGGGATGAGTGAGAGTATTATAAACGTAAGAGTAAACAAATATAATCAGAATACTCCGAACTGCTAAGCTATCAGGAGTTACACGTGTTATTGTGAGTCAACCATAAAAGATAGACATATGCTGTTGCGGGATATTTTTTAGACAATTCTATGTAGAATATTTCCGTCATACATGATTTCTATGTAACTTTAACCATTAAGGCTACACACGCAACGGAAGCTAAAAAAATGGAGTAACTGCTCCTATTGACTGTAGCGTGATGAAAAGTATACTATAACCTGCCCAGGAGTATGAATATGTATGTAGAATAATTGTACCAAGTTTCGTTAAAATCCGTCAAGTAGTTTTTGTTTCTATAAGGAACATACACACAGACAGACAGACAAAAATTTTACTGATTGCATTTTTGGCATCAGTATCGATCACTAATACCCCCTGATAGTTATATCAGGGGGTATTAGTGATCGATACTGAAATATATTTCATGTACAGAATTGACTTCTCTACAGATTTATTATAAGTATAGATACATAGATATAATAATAATAATAAACATTTATTTCGGACAAGGATACATCCATATTATGGTTAGTTACATGATTACTTATTATCTAGTGTTAGTATCGAAATTTAATTACTTACATACTAAACTTGAGCCCGTTATACACTTTTGGATACAATAAGCTATTATAGCGGAATCATATCGACCCCCTATCCCTATAACTTGCAGAATGGAGTTGGAGCTGGCCCGCACTCTGCAAAGCACCGAAGCGGCTTTCTGCCGCATGATGGCATAAAAATCATCAATATGCATCTGATGCACTGCAGAAACGGGGCAGCCCCAACAACACTCTGAGAGCATAATTATCGTATATTGAATACGCAGCGCACCGAGGGCCCGCTGTGTATGGTTGATCCAAAGGCTGCACGTGTAGAACACTTGACAGTAAGCTCTAAGATATAGATGTTCACTGTTGATAACAATTACACTTCAAACTTTATACTCATTCCTTATATTGTGTCCACACTGATCACTATACACTTTATTTCTTTCTTCATTTTTCCTGATTATTTAAGTTTAAAACCAAAAACGAGATCTTTGGACTCTTAAGTGCACTTGCAGAAATTTTGCTTAATCTCAATTTAACTTTATTTTTTTAAACACTTTTGTTTGCATTTATTTTATTTTTATAACTAAATTTAGATAATGTCAAATGACATTGACGTTTTTACACTTTTCTATGGGTTGAAATCTAGTATCAGTCGAATCGAGATTTAGCAAATTTCCCTAACAAGTGAACAAGTGGACCTTAAGATTTTGTAAGTGGGTCTAATTCTGGCATGATCATCTAAACTCAAAACCAAATTCAACATCAGAGTCTCCATTTCATTTCGTATAGAGAATTTGAACGATACACTGTTTAACTAAAGATAGTCATGCCAGTATCGACACCATTATTTTCCAACTTTCTTTAGTGATTCTATCTTCGGAGAAGTACATCATAGATCTAGTAATTCTACGAAGACAGAATGGTTCGCTTGGTACGATTAAGTTGTTTATATACCTCTTGAAGCCTATACATATATTTGTACAAGTGCCATATTTATAAATAAATCTGACTTTTACCGACCTTCACTTTGTTAATTTTACAAGACATTTGTCTAGATTTTGAAGGAGATTGTGACATTGAACTCTACCGTAAGCAGGTACTAAATATACCTATTATAGTTTATTGTCATTATATATCGACGTGAGAATATGACGATGATACGACGACCTCCAAGGCTGAGTGGTTTGTACGCCGGGTTTCATGGTGTCTACTCAAGAAGTCCCGGTGGGGGCAGATGTTTGTGTGAAGAATACGAAAATTTGTACTCCAGTCATGGATGTTTAATATATATTTCTATGTAAATATACTTATATGTGTATCAGTATATGTATTCTATCCGTTACCCTAGTATCCCCATAATACAAGCCTTACAGTGCTTACTTTGGGGCTAGGCTTATTGGTGTGATTGTTCGAAATATTTATTTATTTATTAATTATATGGTCTGATGTCCGTTTTATCAACTTTACAGGAGAGTCAAATCAAAGTCTGTTAAAAAATTTAAAATGAAGTCATATTTATTGTTCTTTTACCTTAATCAATAAATACTTACGTTACTGTCAAATTTTGTGCATTTTATTTTTTATGTTTATTTAACATATTAATAGTCAGGGCCGGATTTAGAGGTCCAGAGGCCTCGGGGCAACAGAGGACCTCTCACCCAAATTATTTTCCAAATAAAGTAAACATTTTTTTTTCAGTCGAGTTTTTCAATAAATAATTTGTTGTAAACCAAGTACATTCCCTTAGTATTGAGCAAACACATATAAATATAAACGGAAACAAGAATTATCTGAAATTAAATCTTAGAGTTAACGAAGGGAACCGAAAAGATGTTTACTAGTGTTTCCAACTGGTGGAATTTGAAAGTTTTTTTTCCGAAGTCTCTATTGTGGGGGCCCCCCGTTTGTGGAGGCCCCGGGGCTTTCGCCCCGGTTGCCCTCCCCTAAATCCGGCAGTGTTAATAGTAATAGGTTATTATACTTTTTATAAAACAATATCATATTCGACCTTATGCTAGCACGAATTGTTGTGTAATCCAACATTTTTATTTCTAACTAAAATATTACGTTATGCTTGAATTGTTTGAAGGTATACCTACTTACTTCTTGATTTTTTTAAGTATCTAAAATTTATCAAGTGCTAATAAAATTCAAAGAGTGTGCGAGTACTTATTTATTATTTCATATTATCAAAACATAAAGAGATATATTGATAATGTTTTTCTAGTTTTAAGCATTTAACTGATGTATGATGATTTACCGTTTATAAGCAAAATATTTTTTTAATAGACCGTTAAAGTGTCTTCTTTGTTTTATTTATATATCTTCAAAGGTATTAATCACGTAATTCTATTGGGTAGGGTAAGTATTTGTGTTTTGTCAAACAAAAGGATATTTAAATCAATCCAGAATAACGTTTAGTTTCACATAGGTACTACCACTTAATAATGTGTATGCGCATAAAAAATAAAAGGTACTAGAATTGTCAAACTTATTTATAAACATAAATTAATTATATTTATAACCGAAATGCTTATTTTATCCAAAATTATAAAAAAAGAACGATATTTTTGAAAACTTGACTGACATTTTATTGTTTGTCGTGAAACAAAACGCATATGCCATGTTTTCGTTCTTCTCCTAACGGAAACAGTAGATACAAATTATTTTAATATTTATTTCGAATCCGCTGCTTTTACAAAGTAATAATTAAATTAGTACGACAAAAATAGTCGTTTATATTTTTTCATAAATTTAATATTACTGTGTAAGGTGGGTTAGAATCTGTCATTGTCATTTAAGTGAACGTTTATAAGTAAGGCTGTACTACATGTTTAAATCTAAAAAGAACTATACTAGAAAAAAAAAAACCGCGATGAATTATTGAATGATAATTCCTGTTTTTTTTCCTATTACAGTGTAAAGTCCATGTAACGTCACTCGATTTAACGACAAACTCCATAAAGCGTCGAAATCACTCGTCTTTGGTTGGTTTACTTTGTTTTCCATACAATGATACTCTCCATATAGCATTACACCCACTCACACACAAAAAAAAAAAAAAAAAAAAAAAAGGCAAAAGGCATTACACCCACTCTTAATAACGACGACAATTAAGTAATAAAAAGTACCTTTTAAATTGCCAAAATTAGTTAAAATCGCAGCTGTGTACATTCTTTTGTCGCTTTATTATCCTAGCCCGTAATAAATCCGACTGTCGGCATCATGTAAACCAAAATTCGTTCTTTTGTTTACAAATTGGAATTACACGTGTAGACTTTTGTTGACCATGATTAAAAAAAAATATAATACAACAAAATTACTGGTGCATCAAAAGACGTCAGACAAAATTAACAGAATATACGCAATGGCGTTCAAATAAGATTATTTTTTATGTACATAACTACTAGCTTGAAATGAACTTTTTTTTTTCATAATTCTGATTTTTCTTCTTTCCATTTAACGACCACTCTCTATAACGCCATAAAATGTACAGCCCCTTTAGTGTCGTTATACAGAGTTTACAATAGTTTTCTTTAGATTTAAACATCTAGTAGGTAGTTAAATGTTAGAAAATAGAATAATGTTAATAAAACTGCTATTTCTTCTTTCAATATTTTTTTTGCACGTAACTTTGGCGCTGTTTACAACGACTCCGTGAATTCGTCTATTTAAAACCAGTTACTATTAAATCTCAGAAAAAGTGACAAATCCTTAGTGATAGACGTGTGATTCTAAAGGTTTATTGTTATCCAGTATATTGTGCAAGGATAACTGCGAAAATCCCGAAGTGAAAAATATCTCACAACATTACATTTGCTGATAACCTGCCCTACATAAAAGTTAAAAAATTGTGATAATTGATTTTAAGCGTACATTTTCAAATTGATTAAGAACGAATATGCTCAAAAAAAATGTGAGTAAATTTTACCAGACAAATTGAAAAAATATAAGTCTTATAAACCTAATACCTTTGAAACTGCATAGAAACGTGCTACGCCATCTGACGAACAATAGCGTAACTACAAAAGCAAAAAGCACGTAACGAACCTTGTTATTACTGCGCAGACGAGTGAATAAGTTTACTCAAATAGTTCAAGATATATTATACAAGATGTCGCTGTGCGCAAGTTGTTTGCAAAATATACCAAATAGAGATTTTCTAACTTGTTTTTGAGGTAAGTGGATTTCCATCTGATTTAATGCAGACTTCTCAGTACGCCAGGAACATTTTCTGAGTTTGTTGTTATTACAGGTAGAAAGAAGAAACTTCTAGCGTTGGCATGAAGTGTTCAGCCAGGCAAATTTTGGAATCGTGTGAAGGGAGCAGGCGGCTGAATTTCCTGCTAAAACAGGAGAAACTTCAGCCGAGTTGTTTGTGTAGCCGGTCATAGAGGGATAGTTTTAAGTAGAAATGAGGTCAGCTTCATAGGTCTACACGCTTAAAAAATAAACAAAAAAAAATATAATTACGATACCACATTGGTTTTACACCAAACCAGGGTGGGTTCCTTCTATTAAGTGTTTAACCCCTGTACCAGAAGGAACCACTCTTCCATAGCATTATTAATATATCTTATGGTAAGTTCTTAATTTTATTTCATTAGATTTTTAAACAGATTGTACGATGATGTACCATATACATCCGCTAGTGTGTATGGGTGTGTTGTATGTGTGTATGTGCGTGTATGTGTGTGTGTATTTAGTTTTAGGTTTTCAGGGCGGTTTCCGCACTTAGTCCTAATTATTGGACCATTGTGCGTGTCTCAAAAACATTCCCGTTTACTCCAGCCAGCCTATATCGGTCCAGAAGGAAAGCAGCCTTGGTAGACTGCTGCAAGCTTCCGGAAATGATTCTGGCGACTGGAGAAGTCGCGCCCGTTGGTCGGCCACACTCCTGCATTCCATGATGACATGCTGTGGCGTTTCTTCTGCCTCCATGCATCCTCTGCATAGGGGGCTGTCTGTTACTCCTATTGTATATAGGTGTTTGTTTAGGGAACAATGACCAGTCAGGGATCCTATAATCCTGCGAAGTTTGTCCCTATTTAGTCTGGTAAGGGTGCGGGCAAAACTTTTATTTACCGCCGGAACCGCGTTTTTCGTTTGCCGGCATCCTTCACCTGTTTTCCACTCCGTCAAGTGTGATTTCTGAGTTATTTCACGCAGCCACGTTTTAATTTGGGCCTGAGGTATGGGCAGCAAGGGTTCCGGATCAAACACTTTTGTGTCTGCTCCCATCTTAGCCAATTTATCTGCTGCGTCATTTCCAATTGAGCTGCTGTGTCCTTTTATCCATTGCAGAGTTACCGTGTTGCTAACCGCAATGGATTGAAGTGCCTTGTGGCACTCCATTACTAGGACTGAGTTTATTGTGTTGCTACGTAGGGCTTGAAGCACGGATGCACTGTCAGAGATGATCTTGATGTTAAACTCTCTGATATCTCTGGCTGCAACCGCCTGTGCCGCTCTGGTAATGCCAATACATACCGCCTAGAAGATTGTGCTTTGTTTGCCTAAGGTTGTAGATATTTTTATATTCAGGTCGTTTGAGAAGACACCGGCTCCAGTACCACTGTTGGTTTTGGAGCCATCCGTGTATATCCTAACTTGCCCGGCGCCAGAGTAATCTGCCTTTTCCGCGGTAAGTTGGATGTTGTATCTTCGATCAAAGACGTGTTGACTCAATATTCTATCGATAGGTGTCTCCAGGAGTGGGATTACCTTCGTGCACTTTTGTAGAATATTGGAGTGTGGATGTGTGCGTGTATGTGCGGAAGTGTGATGACTGTACGTGAGTATGTGTGTACAAATGCTCTTTTTATCCGCTAGTAAGTAAACGCTTTAGGTTGTGTATATCCAGTGTTGCCAGATTTGGGT